TTTTTGTTTTATTTTTGAAATACTATGGAAGAATCTCGGAAACTTTTTGAAAGATTCTCAGGGGACACTTGTTTAAGGTTTTTGAAGTAGTTTGAAAGAATCTCGGAGCTTCTTTTCTTTTTTTGTTTAATAGTGTGAAAGAATCTCGGGACCCCTTATTTAATAAAAATGTTATGTATTTGGAGTAGTTTAATAGAATTTCGGGGCCCTCTTTATTATGTTTTTGAAGTAATTTGAAAGAATTTCGGGAACTTCCAGCAATTCTAGAAATTCTAGAGGTTTGGAGGTGTTGAAGATTCTACAGTCTCTAGAGATTCTAAAAATTCGAAAAATTCTGGAGAGTCTAGATTAGAAATTCTAGAGATTCTACGGATTATAGAGATGTTAAAGATTCTAAAGATTCCAAGAAATACACAGTTTTATAGTCCAGCGGTTCTAGGAATTCTAGAAATTCTAAAGATTCTAGAAGTTCTGGAGGTTTTAGAGGTTCTAGGAGTTCTGGACATCCTGAAAATGCTAAAGATCATGGAGATTCTAAATATTCGAGAAATTTTATAAATTACAAATATTCTAAAGGTTTTATCCATTCTAGAGGTTCTGGAAATTATAGGGATGCTGAAGATTCTGGATTATAAAGATTCTAAAGGTTTTAAGGATTCTAGAGATTCTTGAGATTCTAAAGATCCTAAAAGTTTCACGAAATCCATAGTTTTAAAATTTAGGTGTTCCAGCAATTCTGGAAATTCTAATGATTCTAGAAAGTCTAGAGCTTTGGAGGTGTTGAAGATCCTACAGATTTTAAAAATCCTACAGATTTTAAAAATCCTAAAGATTCGAAAAATTCTACAGAGTCTAAAGATTAGAAATTCTAGAAATTCTACGGATTATAGAGATGTTAAAGATTCCAAGAAATACACAATTTTAGAATCCAGCGGTTTTAGCAATTTTAGAGATTCTAAAGATTCTGCATAGAGGTTCTCGAGTTTTAGAGATTCTAAACATTCGACAAATTCTAGAAATTACAAAAAATCCAGAGATTCTGGAAATTCTAGAGGTTTTAAAGTCTCCTGTTTTTGACGTAATTTGAAAGAATCTCGAAGACCGCTTTTGTTTTGTTTCTGAAGTAGTTTGAAAGAATCTCAGGAATATTTTTTGTTCTGTTTTTTATTAGTTTGAAAGAATCTCGGGAAACATTTGTGCCTGGTTTTTGAAGTAGTTTAAAAGGATCTCGGGGACTCCTTATGTTCTGTTTTTGAAGTAGTATGAAACAATCTCGGGGAACCTTTTGTGCCTGATTTTTTAAGTAGTTTGAAACAATCTCAAGGATCCCTTTTTATTTTGTTTTTGAAATACTGTGAAAGAATCTCGGAAATTTATTGTGCCTGGTTTTTGAAGTAGTTTGAAAGAATAGCGGAGATCCATTTGTTTTCTTTTTGAGGTATTTTGAATGAATCTCGGGGAGCGATTTGTTCTGCTTTTTAGCAATTTGAAAGAATCTCTGGAGCCACTTGTGCTAGGTTTTTGAAGTAGTTTGAAAGAATCTTGGGAAGCTGCTGGGGGCCTTATTTTTTAACTAATTTGAAAGAATCTCGAGGACCCTTTGTTTGAAGTATGTATACAGTTAATAAAATCTCCAGCGGGTCTTGTTTTTTTTAACTAATTTGTAAGAATCTTGAAGATCCTTTGGGTTTTATGTTTGAAGTATGTAGTTAAAAAAATCTCGGTGACCCCATATCTGGTTTTTGAAGTAGTTTGAAAGAATCTTGGGGACCACTTGTATCACGTTTTTGAAGAATGTATAGTTTGAAAGAATCTCGTAGATCCCTTGTTTTTTGTTTTTGAAGTTGTTTGAAAGAATCTCGGGGGCCACTTGTCGTTTGTTTTTGAAGTAGTTTGAAAGAATCTCAAGGACCCCTTTTTGTTTTGTTTTTGAAGTACTGTGGAAGAATCTCGGAAACTTTTTGAAAGACTCTCGGGGGATACTTGTTTAAGGTTTTTGAAGTAGTTTGAAAGAATCTCGGAGCTTCTTTTCTTTTTTTTTTAAATAGTGTGAAAGAATCTCGGGACCCCTTATTTAATAAAAATGTTATGTTTTTGGAGTAGTTTAAAAGAATTTCGGGGCCCTATTTATTTTGTTTTTGAAGTAATTTGAAAGAATTTCGGGAACTTCCAGCAATTCTAGAAATTCTAGAGGTTTGGATGTGTTGAAGATTCTACAGGCTCTAGCGATTGTAAAAATTCGAAAAATTCTAGAGAGTCTAGATTACAAATTCTAGAGATTCTACGGATTATAGAGATGTTAAAGATTCTAAAGATTCCAAGAAATACACAGTTTTAGAGTCCAGCGGTTCTAGCAATTCTAGAGATTCTAAAGATTCTAGAAGTTCTGGACGTTTTAGAGATTCTAGAATTTCTGTACGTTTAAGAGATTCTAGGAGTTCTGGATATCCTGAAAATGCTAAAGATCATGGAGTTTCTAAATATTTGAGAAATTCTAGAAATTACAAAGATTCTAAATGTTCTAAGAATTTTAGAGATTCTAAAGATTCTAAAAGTTTCACGAAATCCATAGTTTTAAAATTTAGGTGTTCCAGCAATTTTGGAACTTCTAATGATTCTAGAAATTCTAGAGGTTTGGAGGTGTTGAAGATTCTACAGATTCTAGAGATTCTAAATATTAGAAATTCTAGAAATTCTAAGGATTATAGAGGTGTTAAAGATTCCAAGAAATACACAATTTTAGAGTCCAGCGGTTCTAGCAGTTTTAGAGATTCTAAACATTCTAGACGTTCTCGAGTTTTAGAGATTCTAGAAGTTTTGGAAATCCTGAAAATGCTAAAAATCATGGAGATTCTAAATATTCGACGAATTCTAGAAATTACAAAAATTCCAGAGATTCTAGAAATTCTAGAGGTTTTAAAGTCTCCTGTTTTTGACGTAATTTGATAGAATCTCGAAGACCGCTTTTGTTTTGTTTCTGAAGTAGTTTGAAAGAATCTCAGGACTATTTTTTGTTCTGTTTTTTATAGTTTGAAAGAATCGCGTGAACCATTTGTGCCTGGTTTTTGAAGTAGTTTAAAAGGATCTCAGGGACTCCTTATGTTCTGTTTTTGAAGTAGTATGAAACAATCTCGGGGAACCCTTGGTGCCCGATTTTTGAAGTAGTTTGAAAGAATCTCAAGGATCCCTTTTTATTTTGTTTTTGAAATACTGTGAAAGAATCTCGTAAACTTATTGTGCCTGGTTTTTGAAGTAGTTTGAAAGAATATCGGAGATCCCTTTGTTTTCTTCTTGAGGTATTTTCAATGAATCTCGGGGAGCGCTTTTGTTCTGCTTTTTAGCAATTTGAAAGAATCTCTGGAGCCACTTGTGCTAGGTTTTTGAAGTAGTTTGAAAGAATCTTGGGAAGCTGCTGGGGGCCTTATTTTTTAACTAATTTGAAAGAATCTCGAGGACCCTTTGTTTGAAGTATGTACACAGTTAAAAAAAATGTCCAGGAGTCTTGTTTTTTAACTAATTTGTAAGAATCTTGAAGATCCTTTGGGTTTTATGTTTGAAGTATGTAGTTAAAAAAATCTCGATGACCCCATATCTGGTTTTTGAAGTAGTTTGAAAGAATTTCGGAGACCCCTTTGTTTCATTTTTGAGGTATTTTGAAAGATCTCGGCGATCGCTTTTGTCTGTTTTTTAGCAGTTTGGAAGAATCTCGGGGATTCCTTGTGTTTTGTTTTTGAAGTAGTTTGAAAGGATCTGGGAACCACTTGTGCCTGGTTTTTGAAGTAGGTTATCAGGCTCTCGTGGACCTCTTCGGTTTTGTTTTTGAAGTAGTATGAAAGAATCTTGAGTCTCCATTGTCATGTTTTTGAAGTAATCTGAAATAATCTCGGAGTCCCGTTCCGTGATGGTTTGTCTTGAAGCAATTTGAAAGAATCTCGGGGACTACTTGTATTTTGTTTTTGAAGTAGTTTGAAAGAATCTTGAGTTTTGTCCTAAGCTCGATAATTTTATTCTATGCTATATAAAGAACCACACAAACTTAGTCTCTGAATTTTTCTGTCTTTAATAATTAGTAATTAGTATCGAGAATGGCGCGCCTATTTTCGATAAACACTGTTAATACAAAATTTGCCAGATTCTTCGAATAGCGAATTTAATTACGAACTTTGCAATGCGCTTTTGGCTACAAATATTTCGTGACACAAAGCACAAAACGCAGAGTTCATTGTATATAGTTTTTGTAATAATTTTTATTTTTTGAACAAAAATAATTATTTAAATAGCAAGATGAAACGACCGATGAATCTCTCGGGATGTATTTAAATTTTTGTTTGTAAATTCCATAACATTATAATTACAAAATTAACAGAAATCCTGTGGCTTAGCAGGATTGTTGCTAAAAAATTCAAGTTATTGGTAACCGATGAACTCGAGAAGATGCCTTAAGGCAGCTAAATTTTATGTTAACAATTTTGATCATACAGTAACATTTATTTAATTAACTTCACTACGCTTCTCATCAACGGGGGTAATAGGGATGATTTTTGTTCACAGACGACCGAGTCAAAGTCATACAACTACTCCTGAAAGTATGCAACCAATGTTACGTCAACCTACTCGGTTTAGAACTCTTTTCTAAAGTTTTCTAAGCCTCAGATGAAAGAGAACGCCATTACATAAGTATATATTTTCAAGTAATTGTGTTTTTCCAACGAATACCAGTCGCAGCGTCCGGTAAAAACATCTGTGTGTGAAATTAATTATCCAGAAACTACGGTTTGGTTGAAGGGACAATGTTTATTCATTTATCTTTTTCGTGTTTTTGGTTTGTATTTATGTTTTAATTACGCCCACGTATGTGCTTTTCACACCATTGCAAGTAAGGTAAATTCAAATTACTTTTTTAAATTCAATAATAATGTCATTGGTGACTCGTACAACTAAAAAATTTCTTGTGGGCTCCACAGTATCAGAATCCTTGTATAAACTCAAGTAACTAAATGTTCGAGTTTCTGTGTTATTTATTTGTCCAATTAATATTTAATATGACAATATTACAACATTGGGGAAGGTAGGTATAATCATTATAAAAAATGTCGAAAGAGAACAATTTGATTTGAGAAATAAAGCTCCACATAGAACATTGTCACGATGTAAGTTTAAAAAGGTCCAAATCGACAGGTTTCACACTCCATTTGCCTAAATCTGATTTCTTGAATGCCGTTAATAAACATTCTTTGCTTTCCTAAAAAGTAAATTCGTGTTTTTCTGTCTTATTTACTAATTTTTAATCATTTTGCTTACTTTATACGACGTTGCTGCTTGCTTCAGTTCACCATAAAATCCACGAATGTTATTTCTTTCAGTCCCACTTATACTTGAAATTCTACCACTCAAATCTAGAAACCTCTCCATAAAGAGTCGTTTACAATATTTTGATTTCGCAGAAGATTCTAATTTGCCAGTTCTTGTACTTATCACTTCTGGCCTTCCCTCACCTGTGCACCAAATTACACAAAAATTGGGGTATTTTCCACCCGAAGGAATTATCTTTTCACTTGTCAAAAAACACATTGGTCGATTTAAAGAGTACGTAACTGGAAGATTCTTAATCGTGTTTTGAATTCTCCCACAAACCGATCTATACAAATGCATCGTGTCCATTTGTCCTCCTATAATGATTGACTTCAAATAAACGGGTTCGACAAAATGAGACAAAAGCGCCCCTTGAAGACCCACAACGTTCCACTTGCAAATTTTGTCCGAACACGACATCGTCGGTAAGTTATCACAATCTGAGATTTCTTTAGAAGCTAGTGCACTTACACATGCATTTTTAAGTCTAAGTTTAGCCGGCAGGTTTGATTTTTTGCATCCGTTAGCAAAAATTCTCGCATGACCACATGGTGCTGTGCTGATATACAAATGAAACTCGATTCCGTCTTTCAGCTTATATCCGGGTCCGTCACTTCGTGGATTGAAAATCGATGATTCTGGTCCATTTTTTGTGATCAAATCCAACTGGTCGTAAAAATAGTTGATCAGAGATCTTCTTGCTATTATTTCTGCGTGCATGTCGTTTAGGGTTAGGCCTAGTTGAGACACGTGTTTGCTGTGAACGCATTTGGTACCCATTGCAACCGAAATTACTTCGAACTCAGAAGATGGGCGAGTCATGACGATGCCAGCAATGATTTTATGTTGCGTGTTTTGCAAATTTGTGGTTGGGAAGGAGTTAAACTTCTCTAAAACAAGCCTAGCAGAAATTTATTTTGGAGAGTTAAACAAAGAAAAATCACCTTTCAATGTAGTCGGCTTTTTCCTGGTCCGTTTCTACCTTTGTTTTGAAAGTTGACTCGGTTTTTTCATTTTCTTTTATTAATGCTAGTGTTGTGTTCAACGATGACTTTAAAAGTTTATTACCGTTTTTTCGAAGTTTGTTGTCTTTCTCAATACATTCTACCTTTTGTACGTCAATGATTTCTTGCTTCTGATTTAAGTTGACTGAAATTCGTGTTAAGAAATATTTTTTCGAATTAGATGATACCGTCATACTTACCATCACCACACTCGGTGGTTGATTTTATAGACCATTCGGATTTATTTTGGTTAACGTTTTCTAAACGTACTGTACTTAACGATTTTTTTAAGTCTTTTAAGGTTTTAGTTAATTCATCTAGCTGATCTAATTTAAATCTAATTTCCCCGATTTCTCCAAGCACATTTGAAATACAATAATCAAGTTTATCAGACAATGATTCTATGAATGACTGTAAGTGCATTTCTGAAAATTACGTCATGAATGATAAAACTACTAAAACACTTTCATTTACAACTCACTGATAGTGATACTGATAAATAATAACTTTATCACTTCAAGCATCGATAGTCGACTGAAATATAAAATGCTTTATCTCTCTATATATACAGGTGTAGAACTGTATTTGAACACAGGGGTTTCACATCTAAAAATAGAAATTTGGAAATTTGGTGGCTCCCCTAATTATTTTAGAACAGAGAGTTAACAATTGTAGAGAATAAAAGTTGTAATTAAAAGCCTTTTTTATTTATTTTGTAACAGCTTAGGGTATTTAAACAGAAAGAAAACATTTTATGACGACGTCATCAACACTTTAGCATATATAACTTTGAATATCTTATTATTAATAATAACAGTTTAACTAAGAATTAATTCTTGAACTAACAAAGCGCAGTATTAATTTTTACATATTTTTAATCACAATTTTGGCTTTTCGATTTGTGAATTATCCGATTTTTCAATTTTTCATTTGTTCTAATTTTCGAGTTTCTCTTTCTCGAGATATTGATTCTTCAGTTTTTCGATTTTTAAATTTTAGATCTTCGAATGTTAATTAATTTAATTTTTTGATTTCCCCGTTTTTCAATTTTACGATATTTTAATTTTTCAATGTTTTAAATTTTAGATTTTTAGATTAATTTCATTTTTCAGTTCTTCAATATTTTTTAATTTTTCAAATTTTGACGTTTCTGAATTTTCAGTTTTCCGATTTCTCAATTAATCTATTTTTTTTATTTTCCCAATTCTCGACTTTCCAAAGTGTCGATTTTTCAGTTCTTCGGTTTTCCATTTTTCAGGTTCTTGATTTTTCGATTTTTTAAGCTTGCGATTTTTCGACTTTGCTTTTTTGACTTTTCGATTTCTCAATTTTTCATTTTTTTTTTCAATGTTTTAATTTCTCAGATTTTTGGATATTTCGTTCAATTTTGTGATTTTTCGGTTTTTTCAATTTTTCTAATTTTCGAGTTTCTCTTTCTGATTTATTGATTCTTCAGTTTTCGAATTTTTAAATTTTAGATCTTCGAATGTCAATTAATTTGATTTTTTGATTTCACCGTTTTTCAATTTTACGATATTTTAATTTTTCAGTGTTTTAAATTTTGGATTTTTAGATTAATTTCATTTTTCAGTTCTTCAATATTTTTTAATTTTTCAAATTTTGACGTTTCTGAATTTTCAGTTTCCCGATTTCTCAATTAATCTATTTTTTTTATTTTCCCAATTCTCGACTTCCCAAAGTGTCGATTTTTCAGTTCTTCGGTTTTCAATTTTTCAGGTTCTTGATTTTTCGATTTTTTAAGCTTGCGATTTTTCGACTCTGCTTTTTTGACTTTTCGATTTCTCAATTTTTCATTTTTTTTCAATGTTTTAATTTCTCAGATTTTTGGATATTTCGTTCAATTTTGTGATTTTTCGGTTTTTTCAATTTTTCTAATTTTCGAGTTTCTCTTTCTCGATTTATTGATTCTTCAGTTTTCGAATTTTTAAATTTTAGATCTTCGAATGTCAATTAATTTGATTTTTTGATTTCACCGTTTTTCAATTTTACGATATTTTAATTTTTCAGTGTTTTAAATTTTGGATTTTTAGATTAATTTCATTTTTCAGTTCAATATTTTTTAATTTTTCAAATTTTGACGTTTCTGAATTTTCAGTTTCCCGATTTCTCAATTAATGTATTTTTTTTTATTTTCCCAATTCTCGACTTCCCAAAGTGTCGATTTTTCAGTTCTTCGGTTTTCCATTTTTCAGGTTCTTGATTTTTCGATTTTTTAAGCTTGCGATTTTTCGACTTTGCTTTTTTGACTTTTTTTTTCAATGTTTTAATTTCTCAGTTTTTTTGATATTTCGTTCAATTTTGTGATTTTTCGGTTTTTTCAATTTTTCGATATTTTAGTTTTGGGATTTTTTAGTATTTCGACTTTTCCATTTTTTGACTTCTGGATTTTTCGATCTCACGACTTTTACTTTTTGAATTTTCAATTTTTCTTTTTTCAAACTTTCGATTTTTCAATTTTTCGACTGTTTTATGTTTCGATTTCTCAATTTTTGCAACTTTTCAATGTTTAAAATTTTTGATTTTTCGATTTCTTGAGTTTTCAGTTCTTCTATATTTCAATTTTCGGAATTTTTAAATTTTCGACTTTCCAACTTATTTTTTAATTTTTCGATGTTTCGAAATATAAATAGGCCAAAATCGAAAATTCGAAAAGTTAAAACTGGTTAAAAATGGAAAAATTGATAAATCGAGAGATTGAAGAATCGAAACATCCGAATCTCGATGAATCGAGATCAGAAAAAATTGAAAAATCGAAAATTTAAAAATTCGGAAAATTGAAAAAGTAAAATATAGAAAACTGAAAACTCGAGAAATCGAAAAATCTAGAATTTTAAAAATTGAGAAATTAAAATGTCGAAAAACTGAAGATCCAAAAAATAAAAAAATTGAAAAATCTAAAAATTCCAGAAGACGAAAAATCAAAAGACAAATAATAGAAATATTGGAAAATCCCAAAACTGAAAGAAATTCCAAAAATTGAGAAATTAAAAAATTAGAAAATCGAAAAACCAAAAAAGCAAAGTCGAAACATCGAAGAATTGAAAAACTGCAAAATCAAAAATCTAAAATTTAAAACATTGGACAACTAAAATATCGCAAAATTAAAAAATCGAGAAATCCAAAAAACAAATAATCAAAAAATTAAAATTCGAAAATCTAAAATTTAAAAATAAAAAACAAAAAATCGACAAATCGAGAAATCAAAACCACAGAATTTAAAACATCGAAATATTGAAAAATCGGATAACTGAAAATTCGAAACATCGAAAAATTGGAAAATCGAAAATGGAAAAACTAAGCCATCAAAAAATTGAAAAATCGAAATATAAAAAAGTGAAAACTCGAGAAATCAAAAAACCTAGAATTGATAAATTAAAACATCAAAAAGTTGAAAAATTGATAAATCGGAGTAATAAAACACTCGAAAAGTTGAAAAATCGAAAGTTTAAAACGAAAAATTGAAAAACCAAAAAGTAAAAAATCGGGAAATTGAAAAACCAAAAAGTAAAAAATCGGGAAATCAAAAAATCCAGGAGTCTAAACATCGAAAAGTCTAAAAATTGAAAAACTGAAAAATCCTAAAACTGAAAAAAATATCCAAAAAATTGAGAAATTAAAAAATCGAAAAATTGAATAATTGAAGTGAAAAATCGAAACTTTGGAAAGACAAGAAATAGGAAAATAGAAGACAGATTACTTCAGAAATCGGAAACTATGTTATTTTATATAATTTAAAACACATTTACAAAGTACAATTTTGAAATGACGTCATCACATTATTGTTGGGGATGATTAGACAAATTTTGGTTAGCGTTTTACCATGCACATGATATTACTAAAATTAATACAAAATTTGACAACAATCGGCCCAGTATTTTAGGAGATTATTTGTCTAATAAAAATCCGGGACGACAGACAGACAGACAGACAGACGGACTAATCAAAAAACCAATGAAATCCAAAAGCGGAGGTGGGTGGGGTTAGTTTTACCTTTTCGTCTAGATTCCAATGTTTATCAATATAAAAAACCCCTTTTTACTTCCCGAGCGTAAGCAAAGGAAGTATTGTAATCGAGTCCGTCGGCCGACTCTCTACTTTTACGTTTTCTCGATCTTTCATGACCCCTAGAAGACGAAGAAATAGGTCTCCCATTTCCGTCTGTCTGTCCGTCTGTCCGTCTGTCCGTCTGTCCGTCTGTCCGTCCGTCTGTCCGTCTGTCCGTCTGTCCGTCCGTCTGTCCGTCTGTCCGTCCGTCTGTCCGTCTGTCCGTCTGTTGTCCCGGATTTTTATTAGACAGATAATCTCCGAAAGTACTCGACCGATTGTTGTGAAATTTTGTACTTATATTAAGAATATCATGTAGATGGTAAAACGCTAACCAAAATTTGTCTAATCATCCCCACCACTAATGCGATGACGTCACTTCAAAATTGTACATAGTAAATGGGTTTTCAATTGTATAAAATAACATAGTCCTACACATGTAGTTTACAACTCTGAATCGACTTTTCACCCGAAACGTCCAGATTTTTGGAAAAAAAATCAAAATTATAAAACAACATTTTGAAATTTAATTTTTAATCTGCTAACCAGAATGCTTTGAAATGTTGCAGATGTTTTAAGGCTATAAAGAGCATCATGAATCTTTAGTCAAAAAATATTTGCTTATCTCCTCCAAAAACTTGATGACGTCAGCTCAAAAGTTTGTGGAATAAATCATATCTAAAATGTACAAAATATGATCAGTCTGTACTTGTGATCTATCACTCCATTCATATTTTTTGGATTTGCATATACAGGGTGATTCAAGAAAATAAATGAAAGCGTAAATTTATTTTACTGATTTACTCAGGAACTACAAAACCGAATGCTTCGAAATCTTGAAGATATTTTAAAATTATCATAAGCATGGTAAATTTTTGATCAAAATGTATTTGGTCGTCCCCGCTAAAAAATTTATGACGTCACCACAAAATTTTGCTGAATAAATCCTATCTAAAATGTACAAAATATGGTGAGTCTCTTCTTGTGATTTATCATTCCATTCAAATTTTTTCGATTTGCATATACAGGGTGACTCAAAAAAATTAATGAATGCGTAAATTTATTTTATTGATTTAATCAGGAACTACAAAACCGAATGCTTTGAAATCTTGCAGATGTTTTAAGGTTATAAAGAGCATAATAAATTTTTAGTCAAAATATATTTGGTTATCTTCTACAAAAAACTGATGACGTCAGCTCAAAAGTTTGCCGAATAAATCGTATCTAAAATGTACAAAATATGATGAGTCTGTACTTGTGATTTATCATTCCATTCATATTTTTGGATTTGCATATGCAGGGTGACTCAAAAAAATTAATGAAGGCGTGAATTTATTTTATCGATTTAATCGGGAATTACAAAACCGAATGCTTTGAAATCTTGGGAATATTTTAAAGTTATTATAAGCATGGTAAACTTTTGTTCAAAATGTATTTGTTCATCCCTCCTAAAAAAATTGATGACGTCACCCTTAAATTTTGCTGAATAAATCCTATCTAAAATGCAAAAAATATGATGAGTTTGTACTTGTGATTTATCATTCCATTCATATTTTTTAGATTTTCTTAAGAGGTGGTTCAAAAAAATTAATGAAGTCAATTTATTTTATTGATTAAATTAAAGGCAACACTTATTATTAGTATTACACCCCAAGCAACCCAATTTGGTAGACACAAAATTTGTTAAAGGAAAAATTCGGTTGAAACATAAGGATAGCACGCTTATTTACATCGACTTTAACATTACAGACCTGCATTTGTTTTATGCGCTCACTTGGTTCCGCGAATGTGAAATAGACATGTTTATAATCAACCAATTGTGAATTTCACCGTCAAGAATTAAAATAAAACCCAATGTTTTATATAATAAGCGGAAGTCGAAGCAATAAAACCGATGGTCGTTTTGTTTACAGTTTCTCTGTTTGACTCTCACGTATGCTGTTACGCCTGTCATCTTAAATTAAGAATGTTTATACATACACGATTTTCAGTTGCCTCTGATACGTATACGTGAGTAAATTGTTTCGTTATTTTATTGATTATTACAAATCAATATTCAAAACGACCCAATTCATTTTCCCGAAAATTTGAGAATATAATAATTTTATTCTTAGTATTACACTACATCTATCCCAACTGATATACGTGTCCTTGCAAAAATGTTGATGACGTCATCGCAATTTTTTTTTAAATTCCCACTACAAAAATGTAATGAGAAAAAAAACACAATAGGCATGCAGTCGTCAAGTTTCCGACAGCGAGGGAAGTACTGTCTAAACTCTTTAGACCAATTTTTTTAAGCATAGATTCGCCACTTGACAGTAAAATTCAGTCTTCATCTGATCACAGATTTACTTTGTTCAACCTCTGCTGTTGTTTTTTCTAAATATTGGTACTTGTGTTTTTTTTTTTTTTGGTTTTTTAAGGTTTTAGTTCATTCATGGAGCTGATCTAATTTAAATTTGATTTCCACGATTTCTTCAAGTACATTTCCTAAATATAAAGCCATTTTAGCTGAAAACGTTTACACAAACAACTACATATATGGACCAAAGAAAAGAAATATGTATCCACAATTTATTAAATACTAAGTTTAATTAAATAAATGAATTGATACCACTAAAGTTTATAGGCAACACACTGAACATATGCAGACTGCAGTTTTGGATTCCTTAGGTCTTATCAGTACAGTATATTTCAATGGCTTATTATTACAGTATATATTACAGTGATGAATTATTTTTAAAACATATCTTGTTCTTGGGGTGTCGAAATCCAGCTGCCTAAACCCGCTTTTTTAAACGCTTCGTACAGAACCTCTTTAGTTTCCTAAAATGTTTTCATATTTATGTTGATTTTTTTAGTTCAAACAGTACCTTGTAGGAAACTGCGGCTTCTTTAATGTCGCTGTAGTACAAAAACTCAGATTTCTCCACATTAGTTATAGTTGTGATCTTATTTTTTAAATTGAGGAACCTTTTCATAAATTGCCACTTACAGTATTCAGAATATCCCCATAACTCAGGTAGCCCAATTTTAGTTACAATTGTTTCAGGCTCAGATTTGCCTAAAGTCCAGTTAACACAAAAAGCGGGCGCTTCGCCACTTTGTTTTTTGTTTTGAGGAATTAGAGCAAAAAGCGATGGACGGTTGAGACGATATGGAAAAGAAAGTTCATTTTGAACCGTCTTTGTTATTCGTTCGTAAGTCGCTCTAAAAAAATATATTTTACTATGTATAAAATCTTTAATAAGAAACACAAACCTTCGTAAATTATTTAAATTCGTTTGAGCCCCTATAACGATAGATGTCAAGTAGATGGGTTCAATAAAGTGTGACAGTAAAGCTCCTTGAAGCCCCAGAACATTCCACCGACAAATTTTATCCGAACAAGACATTATTTTTAACTTCCGACCATTAGAAATATTTTCCCAGGTTTGGATGGTTGTGTCTCCTACAGGAGAAGTTCCTTCTTGAGATTCAACTTTAACTTTCAAACACCCATCGGGAATTGAAGCAGTCGCATCTCCACACGGTGGTACACTAATATAGAGATGGAAATGTATTCCGTCTTTCAATCTATAACCTTTCTTATTTTCACGTAACGTAAATATCGAAGATTGATCTTTTCCGTTAGCTATTAAATTCAATTGGTCGTACAAGTAACTAATGAAACATCTTCTAGCAAGAACTTCTGCATGCATATCGTTTAAGGCATCCCCCTGATATGATAAATTTTGGCCAAAAATGCATTTTGTACCCATAGATACAGAAATCACTTCACTGTTTGAACCACGAGTCATCACGATTCCAGCAATTACTTTGAAGCGGTTTTGGTTTAGGTTTTTGATATCAAATGATGCAAATTTTTTCTCCACAAGCCTGTAGAAAAATTTGAAAAAAATGCTCAATCATTTATATTCTTACCTCCTAAAACTAGTAGCATTTTTTTGACTTATCTGCAAAGTCTGTGTTAACTCTTCTAAAATATATAGGTATGTCATGTAAAGTTCAGAGTAAACTAGAAGTTATCTTACTTTTCTCAAGAGCATCTTCATTTTGTTGCTTAACAACGCTATTGATAACATTTTGCACTAAACTTTGTTCGAGATCTTCAGAAGTTACAAATTGTGTTGAAACTATTTGTGAAACTTTTTTGGTTTGCGATTCTTGTGGGTGATTAGCTGCTGATTGGGGATCTACAGATGCTTCTGAAAATTGTAAAAAAAAAATCTGTGTAAAACTATATTGTATCTAAAATTTACCAAATTTTGTTTTCTTCAAAAGTTCCAGAGAAATGTCTTCTATTGTACTTTTCTCGTTATTAGGGTCACCTAAATTATTTGTGGAATGAATCCTTTCCAGCTTATTTAACTTCCTGTTAATTTGATCGATTTCTTGTAGAACTGTTTTAGAAACATAATCAAATTTTTCGGAAAACGCTTGCAAATTGATTTTTAGTTGGGAATATTCCATTTTTACCACTGAGTACTTTTCAGGTTGTAAAATATGTTCTCTTAGTGTATTTGCAGTGTAAACTATAAGGAATAATTTACAAAAAAATATGTAAAATAATTAGAAATAAATGCTTACCCGCTGTAATAAAAGCAACAGATTCATCATCACACGTTTCTCACAAAATATCTGCTTCACTACAGATGCTTTGTGATTTAAAGAGGAATCATAGATAATTTATGATAAGACAGGGGAAACACACGTTTATCATATCACCTACATACAAAAAAATAAATGAGGCAATCGATTTTTCAAAAATGCATTTGATACTAAAAAACCTTAGACCAATTTTCTTTTTAGTTGCAGTCTGTTGCGGGACGAAAAAACGTTTTATATTCTCGTTGTTCTTCACATTTTGACTTTGTTTTACAAGTTTGATGTTAATCACATGACGTCATCGTACTTACCACAGATGTACCTATGTAGAATTTTCGTCATTACTTGACTCATCCTCCATGAATGCGTTTTGTGCTATCTTTTGCGATAACTGTACTTCACTTAATAAATGGATTTCCTCTAAAATATTTGTATTGTTTAGAATAAAGTTTTGCTTTTTTTGGAATATTTTTTACAAAAGTTCGACCAGTTGCAGGTAATTGCAAGCACTAGCCCCGCCCACCCGCCCTTCATTTTTTATTTCTACCCTCTAAGAAAATGAAGGGTAGAAGATACATCATTTACCAAAATCAGCCTTATCGTGGCAAGTATTAGCCCCGCTCACCCACCCTTTATTTTCTTAGAGAATAGGTCATTTGCCAAAATCAGTCTTTTTTTGGCAAGTACTAGCTGACACTAACTGGATCGAAAAATTGAAAAGAAAAGTTAATAATTGAAAAATTGACAAGTCAAGAAATTGAACAATCAAAACATCGAAACATCTGAAATCGAGAAATGAAAAAACTGAAAAATCGAAAAATTTAAAAAAAGAAAAATTGGTAAACTGAAAAATTGAGAAACCGAAGTAATAAAACAGTCGAATCGAAAAATCCAGAAGTCCAAAAATCGAAAAGTCGAAATGAGAATTTAAAAACCGAAAAATTGAAAAAACGAAAAACTGAAAAATTGAAAAATCGAAACTTTGGGAAGTCGAGAAATGGGAAAATAAAAAACAGATTACTTCAGAGATTGGAAAACTGATTAGATGGGATTTATTCGGCAAAATTTTGAACTGACGTCATCGATTTTTTGGAGGAGATAAGCAATTATATTTTGATTAAAAATTGATCATGCTTATCATAATTTTAAAACATCTGCAAGATTTCAAAGCATTCGGTTTTGCAGATTCGAAATTAAATTACAAAATGTTGTTTCATAACTTTGATTTTTTTCCCAAAAATCTCGGTCAGATGATAAAATAAAATAAAATTTCCATCTAATCAAATAAGCCAATGAAATTCAAAACCGGAGGAGGGTGGGGTTAGTTTTAGGTTTTTGTTTAAATTCCACCGTTGGTCAATATAAAAAGCACTTTTCCTCCAATGAAATGAGTGACCAAAAAGAAAACCGGCCACTTTGAATTTTTTAGGCTTAATTCGCCACTTGACATAGTAAAATTCAGTCTTCACCCAATCAAAAAAACTAGTGAAATCCAAAAGCAGAGAAGGGTGGGGTTAGTTTTACCCTTTCGTCTAGATTCCAATATTTATCAATATAAAACGCCCTTTTTGTCCAATAAAATGAGTAATCAGAGGGAAAACCGGGTGGGTGGGCGGGGCCATTTTGAATTTTTTAAGGAGTTTTAAGAATCGTTCTAAATTTGCATTTTGTTCGAAAATATCCCCAACTTTCTAATTTCAAGAGGAATAATTAATAAATGTGAAGAGTCACTATAAGGCAGGGGAAACCCACATAGTTATCATATTATGCCTCAAAAAACTGATTACACTTTATCTAGAAAAACACAATACAGGAATAAATAACATAAATTGATAAAGATAACGCAGCTTAGTAACGCATTTATTAAAAAAAATACAAAAATACAGTACTTTACTTAACGGCAAATCTGTCTTGCTCCATTGGTTTAGAAACCCAAGTACCAAGCCCACTAGCGACAAACGCGTCCAACAAAACCTCTTTAGTGGCCTACAAAAATAAACACTGCTGCAAACTTGTCAAACCCAAAACCTCCACATACTTTATACTCGCTCGCCGCTTCCTTAACATCACAGTACAAATTAGCTTTCATGTTTTCCACGGTGGTAACACTGGAAATTTTCCCCAGCAACCGCACAAACCTCCTACTCAACTCCTGCTTACAAAACTTCGACACCCCGAGCTCAGGTTTACCAATACTACCATCAATTATCTCAGCTTGTGTATTTCCCCTACACCAAACAACCGAGAAGTTGGTACTATTGCTAGCCTGGCGACTCTCGCAGACTGTCAATCGAGCTAAATTCGGTCGATTGATACAATATGGCAACACAACTTTCTTAATTGTATGGTCAATTCGGCCGTACAACGCTCTAAAAAAACGATATAGTTACAGTTAGAAGTGTTAGTACTTTTAGTCGTACCGTTGCAAGTGTTCTTCGTGAAACAAACTTCCTAAGATTACTGATTTCAAGTACACTGGTTCTATAAAGTGTGTTAGAAGTGCCCCTTGTAGTCCTAGAACGTTCCAGCGACAAATTTTGTCGGAACAAGTCATCGTCAGTAGTCTATTGCCTTGTAGTATCCCGTCCCATGTTTGTCTAGTACCATCCACAGGAATAGAACCTTCCCCGTTTTCAATTTTCGTTCGTAACAACCCCCTACAACTCCTATTGGGGTGTTTATCCATTTTATCGCCATATTCGTTCAAACTAAAGACACTGGCATCCCCACATGGTGCAGTACTAATGTACAAATGAAACTCTACTCCTTTCCGGAGCTTGAAACCTTTACCATTTGTTCGTTTCGTGAAAATGGACTTCTGTTCTTGGAATTTAGCAACGAGATCGAGTTGGTCGTAGAAGTAGCTGATCAGGCACCTTCTAGAAAGTACTTCTGCGTGCATGTCGTTCAAGGAACTACCTTTAGTACTTATGTAACCACCAGAGATACATTTGGTGCCTGTGGTTACTGCAACGACTTCCGCATCTGATAGATTACCGTTTCTGGTCATGACGATACCAGAAAGGACTTTGCGTTTGGCGTGAAGGAGGTCTTTAGACATCAAAGATTCAAACTTTTCTTGAATAAGTCTGAAACTATCTGTAGATTTTGTACAAACTATTTGTTCAGATTTACCTAGCAACATGATCTGCCATTTTCTGTTCTTCTGTCTCTACAACCACCCCACTATACTCAGTCGGTTTTTTCGCTTGTAAATTAAACTGCAACTTAGTCAAAGCTAAATTCGCAGCTTCTGTCTTCGCTGCTTGTTTGGTCGAACCTTCGGCACGTTTCGGTTAGAAAGTGGGTGTCAAAACTCACCTTCAGTACCCATTCCGACGAATTTTTCCGTGCCTACTATAGCTGTAACTCTGAACCTTGCTGACACAAAACCTCCTGTTTCTTCATACTGGTACGCAGTGTTGGGGTACCACTCGTTCAACATCATCACTGCTCCCTTCGCTGCTTCGTCTTCAAGTACCTCTTCTTTCTTGGATTCTTGGTTTATAAATTTTAAGGCTGCTGTGGCAGCACTAACATTTGCTTCTTTTTTTGAACGACCTGTTCCGTAAAAAGTTCTACCTCCTACTGTTACAGATACTTTAAAAGTGGGCAGGTGGTCGGGGCCTGATTGCCCAATGACGACGAATGAGGCACCGAGGTATAGTTCATTCAAAACTTGGACTGGGTTTTTGTTACTGGACACGGTGGAGTTAATTTTGACTTTTTTCGGGTCTACAAGGTGGGTGTTATTTTCAAAATGGACGATATTAAACACCTTAACTTACCAAAATAGGAGTTTATTGGTTCTTTGTGAGAAAAATCTTTCTTGAAAAAGGGTGGTTGTGGTGTTGTTTGTCGTTTATACAAAGTGTCTTTTGCTGTATTGTCGTCCGGTATTAATATGGCCATGATTTTGTTTATTTTATTTTTCTGTTCTTCTAATTTAGCTTCTATGCTTTCTAATTTGGTTTTAAGGGGGCTGATTTCGGATCGGACTATTCGAGTTAACACTGATACAATTTTGTCTGTTTCCATCTAAGAAAAAAAAGGTGGGTTATATGGACAGAACTTCCCTCGCCCTTGAAGTCAAAATTTGACTTTACTATTTGAATATGGAAAAATTGAAAGGTAAAAAAAAATTGAAAAGTCTAAAAACTGAAGAATGTAAAAATTGAAAATCGAAAATCGAAAAGGAAACATTGAAAATTCGAATATCGAAAAATTGAAAATTCTATGGATCAAATATTCCAAAATCGAAAATCGTTAAATCGGAAAAACAAAAATTCGAAAATCGAGAAATGAAAAACCGGAAACTAAAAGTAATAAAAATTTGAAAAACTATAAAATGGAAGAATTGAAAATTTGAGAAACCGAAAAGTAAAACAAAATATTTAAGTCGAATTAAATTCGAAAAATCAAAAATCGGGAAAAAGAAAAGTAGAAAAATTAAATAGAAACATCTAAAATTCAAGAAACGAAATATAGAAAAAACGAAATGTCGAATAATGGAAAATTCTAAAATCGAAAAATCGGAACGTCGAAAAATCGTGGAATAGAAAAATTGAAAATTCGACAAACCGAAAAGTAAAAAATTTTAAGGTCTAAAATTGAAGAATGTAAAAACTGAAAATTCAGAAATCGAAAAATCAAAAATCGAGAAAACGAAAACTAGAAAGACTGAACATCTAAAAACCAAAAAACTAAAGAATGTATACATTTAAAATAGAAAAATGAAAAATAGAAAATTCGATAAATAAAAAATATTCAAAAAACGAAAAACTGAAAAATCAAAAATTCGAAAATCGAGATTTCGAAAGATCCAAAATCCAAGAAAAGAAATATAGAAAAAAACGAAATATCGAAAGTCAAATAATCGAAAATTCTAAAATCGAAAAATTCGAATGTCGAAACTTGGAAAAATTGAAATTGAAAAAAGTGAAAATTAGAACATCGAAAAATCGAAAACGCGAAATTTCGAAAATTCGAAATATAGGAAAATCGAAAGTCGAGAAATCAAAAATTCGATTAATGAAATATTAGAAAAATCTAAACAACGAAAAATCGGAAATGAAAAAGCGAAAAGTAAAAAAATTGAAAATTCTAAAAATCAAAAATGGAAAAGCGGAGAATGAAAATTTGAGGACCGAAAAACCCAAATACCAAAAATTCGAAAACCGAGAATAATCGAAATTCAAAAATCCCAAAATTCAAAATTCTAAAATCGAAAAGTCGAAAACTGGAAAAATCGAAAGTCGAAAAATCAAAAATTCGATGAATCAGATATTCGAAAAATCGAAAATCCAAAAATATAGAAAGACTGAAAATTCGAGTTTCTAAAATCGAAAACTCGAGAAAGTAAAAAATCGATAAAAAAAATCGAAAAACTAAAAAGTGAACCGAAAAATTGGAAAACGAAAAGTAAAAAAATGAAAATTCGAACATCGAGAAATCAAAAAGTAAAAAATGAAAAGTCCAACAACTGAAGTATGGAAAAACTGAAAAATCGAAGACTTGATAAATTGAAAAATCGAGAAATCGAAAAGAAAACAGATTGAAAATTCGAATAGCAAAATTACAGATTCAAAGAATCAAATATTCGGAAAACGAAAATCCGAAAAATCGGAAAACCGAAAATACGAAAACCTAAAAATTGGAAAACGAAAAACCGAAAAATCAAAAATTCGAGAATAGAGATTTAGAAAAATCGAAAAATTCAAGAGACGAAATATCGAAAGTCGAATAATCGAAAATTGAAAAAACCGAAAAATGAAAAAGTTGAAGAAATGGGAAAGTGGAAAAATCGACAAATTGAAATTAAAAAATTGAAAATTAAAATATCGAAAAATCGAAGATACGAAATTTTGAAAATTGAAAATTTGAATCATCGACAATTCGGAATCAAACATCAAAAAAAGCCAAAAGTCGAAAAACCAAAAATTCGATAATCAAATATTCGAAAAATCTAAAATTGAAAAAACGAAAATTTGAAAAATGCAAAAGCCGTAAAATCGAAAAATCGATAAACGAAAAACCGGAAAGTAAAAGATTTAAAAATTCGAAAAACTGTAGAATAGAAAAACTGAAAATTCGACAAACGGAAAAGTAAAAAATTTTGAAGTCTAAAAACTGAAGAAATTTGAAAAACTGAAAAATCAGAAATTTGAAAAATCAAAAATTAAGAAAACGCAAAGTAGAAAGATTGAAAATTCGAGCATCGAAAACCGAAAACTGGGGAAATCAAAAAATCGAAAACTGAAGAAAAGAGAGATAAATTGAAACTGAAGAAAAGAGACAAATTGAAAATTCGAATATTAAAAAATCCGAAAAATCTCAGAAACGAAATATAGAAAAAACAAAATGTCAAAATCGAAAAGTTGAAAACCGTAAAAATTGAAAAATCAGGAAACTGAAATCGAAAAATGAATATGATGAATTTGATTATGAAAATTGATAATTTGAAAAATCAGAAACCAAAAATCAAAAATTCGATTAGTCGAATATTCGAAAAATCGAAAATTGAAAAAACGAAAATTCGAAAAATTGAAAAATCAAGAAATGAAAAATCACAAAATAAAAGAATTAAAAATTCTAAAAACTAAAGATGGGAAAAATTGAAAAATCAAAAATTCGAAAAATCAAAAATCGAGAAAACGAAAATTCGAAAATCTGAAAAACCAAGAAATGAAAAAGCGGAAAGCAAAAGAATTAAAAATTGAAAAATAAAGAATGGAAAAATTGAAAATTCTAGAAACCAAAAAGTGAAAATTTAAATCTCTAAAAACTGAAGAATGTAAAAATTGAAAAATCAAAAATTGGAAAAATAAAAAAAAAGAAGACGCAAAATAGAAAGGTTGAAAATTCCAGCATCGAAAACAAAAAACTCGAGAAATAAAAACAATCGAAAACTGAATAATGGAGTAATTGAAGATGGAAAAATAAAAAAATTGAAAAATCGAATATCGAAAAATTGAGAAGCAAAAAATGGAAAAGCCTAAAATTAAGTAAAAGTATGGAAAAATCGGAAATCTAAAATTTGAAAATCAAAAAATCGGAAATCGAAAAACCGAAAAATCCGAAAGTCGAAACTTGGAAAAATTGAAATTAAAAAAAGTGAAAATTAAAACATCGAGATTTCGAAAAATCGAAAATTAAAAATTCTATTAATCATATGTCGATAAATCGATATAAAGAAAACTGAAAATTCGAAAAAGAAGAAATCGAAAATTCGAAAATTGTGAATCTGAAAAATCGAAAATTCTAAATAACAAAAAATTGAAAACTCGAGAAATCGAAAGTCGAAAAATTACGAAAATTCCGAAAAATATAAAATTTGACAGTATTCGGCAGTTTCGGAGATTATCTATCTAATAAAAATCCAGACAGGCGACAAGCAGACAGACGGACGGAAACGGAAACCTATTTTTTCAATACTTTCTTAGCTTATACTCGGGAAGTAATAAACATGAAATTTATCCAATGACTCCTAGACCTAGAAATTTCCAGAAAGAAACTAAGAGTGAAAACAACATTGTGGGCAAAATGTCAATATTGATCAAAATTGTTTAACACATGAAAATTGTCGGATTAACCATGGAATGTGTATTTTAGGTTGAGTGAATGTTTCGACGCCCTTAAAAAATGAACTATAGAATGAAATAATAAAACTATCCAGACGATTTCATTTTATATCCACTGAGATTGACGGATTTACTACACAATGTTTACAGAAAGTGACGCATGGTTGGTTGTCGACAAGGATCACATTCACCGACATGTTTTGCGTCACATGTCTGCAATCTCTGTTAAAAAACGTTGTAACACGAAGAGCCCTCTACAAGACGAAATCGAGACTACAAGGCGACTGTGACCATTTGACCAAATCAACAAAACTCCTATTAACTAATATATACAGCGATTTTTAGATAAATGATACGTGTAGTTTTAACAGTACAAACCTTGGCGGACACGTATGCACAAAAAAACGTAAAAACTGTCAAAAATGCGAAAGATGAATCATGTTTTGTTGATTTTAATACGTGTTATGTAGACAACCAGTTATACACCAGTGAAAAGTTTCAAGCAACGCGTCTAGAAATGTCAAAAAACTTCGAGTTTTTGTGAATTCTTCGGTGCAACGTTAACAAATATATAATAGATTTTATATGTTTAATTTATATTATGAAAATATAGTTATATGAAGTGCAACGTGGGTACTTTCAAATGTTGGCGCCTGTTTTGTTAATAAACAATTACATTGCTACTAACATACGAGTGACAAAAATTATTCAATTGATTGCTTAATTTTCCTCGACAGTCTCTCTTTGTCGGTTTAAATCGTCGTTTGTTAGTTGTTGATGAAAAACCGCCTCTTTTCGCTTTAATTAACTGGTAAAAACCGTATTTTCTGAAAAAGTGACACATTGCTCAAGTTGGCACCTCGCAATTCAAGGTTAACAAAAAGGAAGTTGATGTTCCAGACTACTTAGCCTTAAAAATAAATATAAAGCTAAATAACACAAAAGTAGGAAGCTACAGGCTGTGATAACACTGTTTCATGGTATATAACGTTAATAACTCAACCACCAACACCAACATGTCCAACAAATACGAGCCGTAAGTTCCATCTTCAACAATGAAATTTGTTTTTTATGGGCATCACCACCAGCTTGAAACACCATGCCGACAATTCCGACAGTGGTAGCGGTGACGACGAAGTAGGACCATACATCACAGATCTCGGTTCAATAGACTACCCCCCTGGAGAACACAGATTGCAACATCCGTATTGTCTGTGGTTCTCGAAACGACCATCCCAAGTGCAAGGCTCACAAGGCTACAGTCAGGCTTTAAGGCTAGTGGGACAAGTCGGCACAGTGGAGCAGTGGTGGGCTTTATATTCACACATCGTCCGACTGACGGATATCCCGGCACATCGAGATCTACACCTATTTAAGAAAGGTATTAAACCCATGTGGGAGGACGCCGCCAATAAAAAAGGCGGCAAATGGGTACGTGCGTATGCGGATTTTGGAACGTTGTTGATGGTTGTTTGCAGGTTATACGGTTAAGAAAGGAGCAAGCCGGGCGGGCTTGGGAAAACCTCTGTATGGCGATGTTGGGTGAACAGTTCATGGTAAGGTGGCGAGTTTTGTGGGTTTTCACTAAGCGCAATTATAGGCAGGGAATGAGATTTGTGGCGTGGTGGTCTCGACGAGGTATCAAGAGTACTTGTTGAGTATTTGGAATAGGACGGCATCGGATCAAGCCACCACGGCGAGAATAAGAGATGCACTGAAAAGACTACTCAATATTCCAGCAAGTGCCACCATGGAGTACAAAACACACAATGATTGTCTCAAGTATGCAACGCCAACTTTGTTACATACATTTTATTTTTTTTTTTCCAGAGCCTCGAAAAACATACCAAATAATGCGTTGAAAAGTTGATTTTGAGTGACAACGTAGCCCCGAGAAGAGAGTTAATTTTACACACTAATGCGTTTTTCTGATTTCGTCGGATTTTAACGTCGCCCTCAATATACAAGATTGCAAAATATGTTACTTTTTTTAATGGAGAACCCTCTTGATTTATCCAGCATGATTTTAACTGTCTAAAAGAAAAATAAAATTTGTTAGGGTGGCATCACTGGTTATTGTCCCTAATACAAACTCCACTACTTTTTCAAGTTTGACTGGAGTGCAAAAATTTGTTAATAATAATGATTTCATAATAATTAAAGAAAATTTTGACGTTTTGAAAATCGAACGGACTGCGCATGCGTGGCACGTCACCGAACGGAAGTGGGAGAAGCCCACCGGAAACCAACGACGACAAACGACAGTATCAAAATGGCGGATCGCTTATGATAGTTTATTGTGTAAATTAATTAAATAATGGCTAATAAACTAGGTATTGTGTTGTCTAGTGTTGTGTAATTGTTGCTCCAGAGGCCCAAAATGGATGCAGTGAAGTCGTTTAACTCCGAGGTAACCAAACCCCGTGTAAATCTACACCACCAAACTTCCCTCAAGCCACTGAATTTTCACCCCCATAACACCGCTTTTCACCACCAATCTCCCCTTTTTCAGCTCTCCTCGCTCTACGAGGTGAAGCCCCCCATATCAAAAGCCAAGATGACCGCGATAACAAGAGGAGCCATAAAAGCCATCAAATTCTACAAACACGTAGTGCAGAGTGTCGAAAAGTTCATTCTAAAGTGTAAACCCGAATATAAAGTGCCCGGGCTGTACGTAATTGACTCGATCGTGCGACAGTCGAGACACCAGTTCGGCCCCGACAAAGACGTCTTCGCCCCCCGGTTCGCCAAAAACATGCGCCAGACGTTCGTCAACCTCTTCCTGTGCCCGGCCGACGACAAAGTAATAATTACAACCCCCGTGAATCTTTTTACCGAGCCGCTTTTCCTCTTTCAGAGCAAGATCATCCGGGTGTTGAACCTGTGGCAAAAGAACCAGGTTTTCGCGCCCGAGGTGATCCAGCCGCTGTTCGATCTGGCCGACCCCAATAACCCCATCCACAAGGAGCTGGGGACGCCGCTGCAGTCGAACGGGATGAACGCGGGGGCTGCCGCCATCAAAGGTTGGTAACTTTTTTCCTTTTCTGGCATATTGAATTAAACATATACAGCGTGCCAGAATTTTTGTTTGTGTGTAGTGGACGTTGTTTGTTTTGGCACGTTGTATAGCTCTGGTATTTGTCTAAATAAGCTGTTCGTATTAGGTTCCCCCGCTCTTCAAAAGACGCCCACCAAAGGTTCACAACAAGGCGTTGATGGTGCTCATCTCGGAGGAGCTAACTTGGTACTGATCTGATCAGATTTTGATTTAGAGAGAGAGGGTTTACTGATGGATTGAGAGAGATAGTTGATCAGAATGGGGTTCTGTAGTTAGGACTTGATTGTTCTGTCTATGAACCTGTTTTAGTACTGGAGATGGGATGGGTGAAGAGTATATCGGGTTTTATGATGAAAGAGAAAATTATGCATATGAAAATTCTTTCATCATCTGAAATTTTTATATTAAATTAATAGTAACAGCACATACAAAATTAAAAATTATACTGTTGCTAGTACAAAAAAAAAAAAATCTGCGAGACTGGAAGAAAGTATTTTTTTTTTTTACTTTCTTACTGTGTACAAATAACTGTACTGAATTAAAAAAAAAACTGAAATTGTAATTACATCATTAACCTTCGCACTAACCAAGCTGATGATCCTAATGGCTAAAGTGATTATTGTGAAACATAGATAAGAATTATCCCGATTAAACCAGCTGTCAAACCACAAAAAAAAAATGAAATCGATAATTTAAACTAAGGTTTGATGTTGAATAGGATGCAAAGACATCGTTACCGAATAGATCATGGTTTTTGCGTCCCCCAGTATACAGTTTAAACCTATAAGAAAAATTAAAAACGAAGTTAAAAGTAAAACATTCATCGAGCGCGTAACGAATAAAGAACTAAAATAAAATGTTGGCGTTCATAGTGAATATATGGAAATATACAGGGTGAATCACTAAGTGCGCGATAGAAAAAAGTTGTACGACTCATTGAGTAGCGTACATTAAAGTTATTTTCGACAATGCTAAGTAGAATATCCTATTATTTTGTAATCGAGTCCGTTGGGTGTCTCAAAAAACAAAAAAAATGACTTGAGTTAATTTATTTTATTGATTAAATCAAGAATTGCAAAATTGAATACTTTGAAATCTATAATATATATCTGTTTTTCATCCAAAAAAATTGATTCCGTCATCTCAAAATTTTGCCGAATAAATTCTACGTCAGTAAAATGGAGAAAGGAGGTGAGCGGGGCTAAATTTAGCTTTTTTCTACTTTTATGAGCAAGCGTTAGCCCCGCCCACCCACCCCTTCTTCGTTCCAGTGACTAATATTATTCAGTCCTAGCTTAGCAAGTTTCAGCCCCGCCCACCACGCTTTTTTTACTTGGAAGATTTACCAAAATCAATCTTATCTTTACAAGTACTAGCCCCGCCCACCCGCCCTCAATTTTCTTAGAGGGTATATTGTTTGCCACAATCAGTCTTATCTTAGCAAGTACTAGCCCCGCCCACCCACCCCTTCTTCATTTCAGTGATTACTCTTAATATTCTTCAATCATTTACCAATTTTTTTAACAAATTAATCGTAATTTTTTTTGTAATACCACTTATTTGCTATAACATTTTTCATTTCTGAAAAAAAACTAAGAGAACAGGTGTGTGGGTGGGGCTAAGTTTAACTTTTTCATACAGAATATTATAATAAGAAAGCAATAGCCCCGCCCACCCACCCCTTCTTCATTCCAATGATTATTCTTAATATTGTTTTTTTAACAAATTAATCGTAAATTTTTTTTTATAACATTTATTTCCCATTCCTGAAGAAAAAATAAGAGGACGGCTGGGAGGGCGGAGCTAAGTTTAAATTTTCGTACAGAATCTTTTATAATAAGCAAGCAATAGCCCCTCCCACCCACCCCTTTTTCATTCCAGTGATCACTCTTAATATTGTTCTGTCATTTACCAATTTTTTAAACAAATTAATCGTATTTTTTTATAACATTTATTTCTCATTTCTAAAGAAACAAATAAGAGGACGGGTGGGTGGGCGGAGCTAAGTTTAACTTTTTCATACAGAATCTTTTATAATAAACAAGCAATAGCCCCGCCCACCCACCCCTTCTTCATTCCAGTGATTACTCTTAATATTGTTCAGTCATTTACCATTTTTTTAAACAAATTAATCGTAATTTTTTTATTATAACATTTATTTCTCATTTCTGAAGGAAAAAAAAATAAGAGAAGGGGTGGGTGGGCGGGGCTAAGTTTAACTTTTTCACACAGAATCTTTTATAAGTAAGCAATTGTCCCGCCCACCCACCCCTTCCTCCTTCCAGTGATTACTATTAATAATATTCAGTCATTTACCTTTTTTTTTAACAATTTAATCGTACATTTTTTTGTTATACGACTTATTTGCTATAACATTTGTCATTTCTGAAGAAAAAAAAAGAGATTGGGCGGGTGGGCGGGGCCAAGTTTAACTTTTTCGTACAGAATCTTTTATAATAAGTAATCAATAGCCCCGCCCACCCACCCCTTCTTCATTCCAATGATTACTCTTAATATTGTTCAGTCATTTACCATTTTTTTTTTAAAATTAATCGTAAATTTTTTTGTTATATCACTTATTTCTAATTTCTGAAGGAAAAAAAAATAAGAGAACGGGTGGGTGAGCGGGGCTAATTTTAGCTTTTTCATACAGAATCTTTTATAATAAGCAAGCAATAGCCCCGCCCACCCACCCCTTCTTCATTCCAATGATTACTCTTAATATTGTTCAGTCATTTACCATTTTTTTTAACAAATTAATCGTAAATTTTTTTGTTATATCACTTATTTCTAATTTCTGAAGGAAAAAAAATAAGAGAACGGGTGGGTGGGCGGGGCTAAAATTAACTTTTCCACACAGAATCTTTTATAAGCAAGCAATAGCCCCGCCTACCCACCCCTTCTGCATTCCAGGGATTACTATTAATATTATTCAGTCACTTACCTTTTTTTTTTTTAACAAATTAATCGTACATTTTTTTGTTATACCACTTATTTGCTATAACGTTTGTCATTTCTGAAGAAAAAAAAAAGAGAACGGGTGGGTGGGCGGGGCTAAGTTTAACTTTTTCATACAGAATCTTTTATAATAAACAAGCAATAGCCCCGCCCACCCACCCCTTTTTCATTCCAATGATCACTCTTAATATTGTTCTGTCATTTACCAATTTTTTTAACAAATTAATCGTATTTTTTTATAACATTTATTTCTCATTTCTAAAGAAACAAATAAGAGGACGGGTGGGTGGGCGGAGCTAAGTTTAACTTTTTCATACAGAATCTTTTATAATAAACAAGCAATAGCCCCGCCCACCCACCCACCCCTTCTTCATTCCAGTGATTACTCGTAATATTGTTCAGTCATTTACCATTTTTCTAAACAAATTAATCGTAATTTTTTTTATTATAACATTTATTTCTCATTTCTGAAAGAAAAAAAAAATAAGAGAAGAGAACAGAATCTTTTATAAGTAAGCAATTGTCCCGCCCACCCACTCCTTCTTCCTTCCAGTGATTACTATTAATATTATTCAGTCATTTACCTTTTTTTTAACAATTTAATCGTACATTTTTTTGTTATACCACTTATTTGCTATAACATTTGTCATTTCTGAAGAAAAAAAAAAGAGATTGGGCGGGTGGGCGGGGCTAAGTTTAACTTTTTCGTACAGAATCTTTTATAATAAGCAAGCAATAGCCCCGCCCACCCACCCCTTCTTCCTTCCAATGATTACTCTTAATATTGTTCAGTCATTTACCAATTTTTTTAAACAAATTTATCGTAATTTTTTTGTTATACCACTTATTTCTCATTTCTGAAGAAAAAAATAAGAGAACGGGTGGGTGGGCGGGGCTAACTTTAACTTTTTCACACGGAATTTTTGTAGAAGCAGGCAATAGCCCCGCCCACCCACCCCTTCTTCATTCCAGTGATTACTCTTAATATTGATCAGTCATTTACTAATTTTTTTAAGAAATTGTTGTTAGCGTTTTCCTAAGCTTTTATAACCACAGTTTATTTTTGAAATTCCGTTGCGACGTTGCCACGTGATGCCTAGAGTCTATACAAAAAAAAGAGAATTTAAATATCGATATTTCAGTGTAATTTATTACTGCATCTGATTCTATGTTTTTGGTAATTTTTATGTATATTAAAACCAATTTTATTTGTATCACAATCAGTCCACAAAATATTGTAACCCAGATTTTAAAAGTAACCCTGTTAAGATTTTTTTTCTGGACCCTTTCGTTCCTAAAAAATTTCAAGAAAATTGGAATAACTTGGCCACGTCGCATCGAAATTTTCAAAATTAAGTGTGTTTATAAAATCCAAAAAAAGGTCACTCAGGACAAAACTATATAGAATTTTTTGCTTGAGAAAACTGAGTTTTGTGTTATGCCTTAAAAACGGAACGCTCTGTAGAGGTTAAAATAACTTTGGTAAGGCTTTTATGGAACTTTGGTCTTGGTATTTTTTTCAATTTCACCTTTAATTTTTTTTTAAATCTACTAAAACATTTCCTGCCTTATGCATATAAGTAAGGTCGTAATTTTTCCAAATTTTGATCATTTTTTGTAAAAATTAGTCATCACTACTTGGTAAGATATAACTGATTTTGGCAAATCACAAATCCTCTAAGGAAAGAGGGTGGGTGGGCGGGGTTAGTACCTGCTAAAATAAGATTGATTTTGGCAAATTAAGATAATTACTGATTTTGGTACTGTTTAAGAAAAGAGAGGGCGGGTGGACGGGGCTAGTACCTGCTAAAATAATTTGACTATTTGTATGACACTTTGAACACTCGAGAAAAAGCCCTATTATTTATAAGTTTGGGGTCGTGAATGTCTTAGTATTGTTTAAATCCCCGTATAAATAACATATCGAGTGATTTTTTAAATTTCTACTCCAAAGAATAATTCCTAAATAACCTTTGTAAAAGATGCGCCTTAACATTAAAATGTGGTTATAAGTTGATTACATTTTATTATCTCGACATTTTTATAAATTTTGCTTAAGAAATTAGTTGCGAAGAGAGCTATATTTAAATTTTAACAGCGAGAAACTCTTTCAGATAATTTAATCAGTGAAACTTGGGAACTCTAATACGAACAGATTCCAACAATATAAATATAACATGCACATTTTTCCTTTCCAGAATTTGTCAGATCCAAATGTTCTCGTCCAGTTGCAACAATTACAAAGGTTGCTTACAAGAGGTGGAGAAGCCGCTTCGAAATCCGACAGTCAAGTTCACTTCGACAGAAAACTGCTTGATTTCGACTACGGCGAGGACGACGACGAAGCCCACTCTTCACCTAAAGCTGGACCTGCGCAGGCCCCCGGACCAAACGACTCAGTTTCAAGGTAAAACCAACCGTACCCGAATCGTACACACCCGACTAAAAATTCCTTCAGCTTATTAACAAACCCGGAAGTTCTCCGCCAACTCCAAACCATCCAACAAACAATGACTGCCGGACAGCCTGGAGAACTCGACATCGACAAATTAAGAAAACTGCAAGAAATGAAGCAACAGGAGGAGGAATTCGACAAACATCTAGCCCAAACTGTACCTGTAAGACAATCACCTTTTGTTATATACAAAAAAAATATATTGTTGTGGTTTAGAATCTTCCTTTTGCGTCCGAGTGCGAGTTTAAACCCGGTAACACTTCCTCTTTAATGGGAAATCCTTACTACCTGCCCCCGACGACCGACATGTCGCAGCCGCCCCCTGGCTACAAGCCGCCACAACCATACGACATGTCGCAGCAACCACCCGTAGATAACGATGTGCAATTCGTCAGTGGTGAACCTGACAACGTGGGAGAAGTGGAAGTAAGTCAAAACAAACAAAAATGTGTGACGTCCTTTGTATTTTTTATAAATCAGGTGATCAATCTGGACCATGGTGACTCCCGCAGTCCCACTCCCACCGAAGACCGATACAGAAGACGAAGGAGTCGCTCGCGGGAGCGATCCAGAGACAGACGCGATCGCGACCGGCGCTCGCGCCGCTCGCGTTCGAGATCGCGATCTCGACGGCACAGATCGCGTTCGCGAGACAGAAACAAAACGAAAGAGAAAGAGTCCGAGAAGGACAAAGAGAGGAAAAAGCGGGGGCTTCCGACTATCAAAAAGGAAAACTTGAGCGGTTAGTATTCGTGGAGTTGGTTGAAGCGTTTTACGATTTTTGGGGTTAGTTTGCAGCACTACGCTGTGGGTGGGGCATCTGTCGAAACTGGTACATCAAGAGGATTTGTCGAATACTTTCGGGGAGTTCGGCGATATCGTGAGCATCGACTTGATACCGCCGAGAGGGTGTGCGTTCATCGTTATGCATAGAAGACAGGATGCTGCGAGGTGTTTGACGAAATTGAAGAATCATCTGCTGCATGGAAAGGCCATAACGGTGAGTACGATTTGATTTGATCAAGGGATGGCGGTTGAAGCTACTAGAAGTCGACCACAATAAAAATCGTGTATATAGTTTAGACGTTTCGGCTTCTAGGATCTTCAGACTGTTTTGATGATGAGAATTTAAAGATTGAATATTCGGAATTAATTGTTACAAGTGCGTTTTAATGTGTTATTGAACCGGTAAAAGCCAAGTTTAACGATAAGGTGATTTTTACTATGAACGAAATTATGACAACATGGTTTCCTTATACTACTCAACTTATCGTTAAACTTATCTCTAACCATACTCTCGATTTCTGAGCTAATGACGCGGAAGTGGGCCATTTCACAGTTTTTAGAATACAAAAATGCCGTTTGTTGATTAAATAAATGGTTCCCGAAATGACGGGGTTGATTACTTACTCTAAAGCATATAAGCATATTAGGTGTACTAATCCTCCCCAAAAAATTAATGACGTCATCGTATTTAATTTTTCTGAAATTTCGGTAACCCTATTGCGTTACACTGTGTACATCAAGGACCATACAAGTTATACTGGGTGTCTGGAAAATGGCGAATTAAGTCTTAGTACGTTATGTACGGGAGTTTCGGGAGTCCCAAAACAATAATAAAAAAAGTCTTTATGATGTAGGTTACGAATTGTGCATTATTATTGATAAATAAACCAAAAAAAAAAACACTTTAGTAAGACATTTATAAACACTAGAGATGTTGAAAAAATTTTGATCATTTTTTTTAACGTTAGTCATTAGTACTTGCTAAGATAAAACTGATTTTGGCAGATGACATGTCCCCAAAAAGGGGTGGGTGGGTGGGCGGGGCTAGTACCTTGACAAGTGACGTATCCTCTAATTATTATTAGAAAAGACACTAGAGGCTCTAAAGCACTTTCAATTTTTTTTTTCCGAACACTAAACATTGAAAAATCGAGGAACTGAAAAATTGAAAAAACGAAAAATTATAAAAGCGAAAAATTGAAAAATTAAAAAAAAAACTCAAGAAATTTTAAACGAAAACACAAAGTTTAAGGAATGAAGAAACAAAAAAATGAAAAATCGCATAATTGAAGAAACAAAAAGTTTAAAAAATTAAAATTCAAAAAAAACAAAAATTGTTTTTTCAATTACAATTTTTCATTTTTCGTTTTTTCAGGATTTTGTTTCTTTGATCTCTTCTTAAGTTCCTGATTTTAATTTTCCGGTTTTCAGATTTTTTAATTTTAATTTTTCGTCACAATTTTTCGTTTTTTCTGGGTTTTCCAATTTTTCAATTTTACAATATTTCGATTTTTCGATTTTTAAGTTTCTCAATTTTTAATCTTTCTGTTTCCAGTTTGTCGTTTCTTCAATTTTTCAAGTTCTTGATTTCCAGTTTTTATATTTTTCCGCATATTGTAAATCCAAAGAACTGAAGAAACGAAAATTGAAACATTAAAAAATAAATCTTTTAAAATAAGCAAGCAATAGCCCCGCCCACCCACCTCTTCTTCATTCCAATGACTATTCTTAATATTGTTCAGTCATTTACCAATTTTCTTTAACAAATTAATGGTATTTTTTTATTATAACATTTATTTTTCATTTCTGAAGAAAAAAATAAGAGAACGGTGGGCGGGGCTAGGTTTAACTTTTTCATACAGAATTTTTTATAAGCAAGCAATAGCTCCACCCACCCACCCCTTCTTCATTCCAATGATTACTCTTTATATTCAGTCATTTACCAATTTTTTTTAACAAGTCAATCGTAATTTTTTTTATAACATTTATTTCTCATTTATAAAAAAAAATAAGAGGACGGGTGGGTGGGCGGAGCTAAGTTTAACCATTTCATACAGAATCTTTTACAATAAACAAGCAAAAAAAGGGGTGGGTGGGTGGGCGGGGCTAGTACCTTGACAAGTGACGTATCCTCTAATTATTATTATTAGAAAAGACACTAGAGGCTCTAAAGCACTTTCAATTTTTTTTTCCGAACACTAAACATTGAAAAATCGAGGAACTGAAATAGATAAAATTGAAAAAACGAAAAATTATAAAAGCGAAAAATTGAAAAATTAAAAAAAAAACTCAAGAAATTTTAAACGAAAACACAAAGTTTAAGGAATGAAGAAACAAAAAAATGAAAAATTGAAAAATCGCATAATTGAAGAAACAAAAAGTTTAAAAAATTAAAATTCAAAAAAACAAAAATTGTTTTTTCAATTACAATTTTCCCTTTTTCGTTTTTTCAGGATTTTGTTTCTTTGATCTCTTCTTAAGTTCCTGATTTTAATTTTCCGGTTTTCAGATTTTTTAGTTTTAATTTTTCGTTTTTTCTGGGTTTTCCAATTTTTCAATTTTACAATATTTCGTTTTTTCGATTTTTAAGTTTCTCAATTTTTAATTTTTCTGTTTCCAATTTGTCGTTTCTTCAATTTTTCAAGTTCTTGATTTCCAGTTTTTATATTTTTCCGCATATTGTAAATCCAAAGAACTGAAGAAACGAAAAATTGAAACATTAAAAAATAAAAAAAAGAAAACTTGCAAATCGAAAAAAATTATAGAATCGTCGAAATTGTAAATAAAAAATTAAAAAATCCAAAAGCTGGAAAATCGAAAAATTGCAAACCGAAAATCTTAAAAATCCAAGAATTGAAAATTTTCACATTGAAGAAAAAAAAAATTACAAAAACAAAACAGTGAAAAACCGAAAAATTTTAAAAACAAAGAAAATGAAAAACCGAAACGAAAAATCGCAAATCGGAAATGTGAAGAAATGAAAAATTAACATAGCGAAAAATTGAAAAAGCGAAAAACTGAAAAATTAAAAATTGAAAATAACTGTCCATTTTTTCAATTTTTAGATTTTTCAAAGTTTTCATTTTGTATTTTTTCTTTTTTTTATTTTGTTTTTGGATTATGTTAATTTTTTTAATTCGAGTATTTGATAAATCGAAAAATTGAAAAATCGAAAAATTGAAGAATCGAAAAACCAAAAAGTCGGAAAAAACTGGAAAATCGAATAAATTTTATAGCAAATAGTATATAATAAAAACATTACGATTAGCGCTTTTTTAATTTTTTTCATACTCTAGATTCTATTAGTTTCCACTCCCACACGACACAAGAACATAATTACATAACACTATTGCGTTACTCTGTGTACATCAAGGACCATACAAGTTATACTGGGTGTCTAGAAAATGGCGAATTAAGTCTTAGTACGTTATGTACGGGAGTTTCGGGAGTCCCAAAACAATAATAAAAAAAATCTTTATGATGTAGGTTACGAATTGTGCATTATTATTAATAAATAAACCAAAAAAAAACATTTTAGTAAGACATTTATAAACACTAGAGATGTTGAAAAAATTTTGATCATTTTTTTTAACGTTAGTGATTAGTACTTGCTAAGATAAAACTGATTTTGGCAGATGACATGTCCCCAAAAAGGGGTGGGTGGGTGGGCGGGGCTAGTACCTTGACAAGTGACGTATCCTCTAATTATTATTAGAAAAGACACTAGAGGCTCTAAAGCACTTTCAATTTTTTTTTTCCGAACAGGAATACCTAGAATTTCAAGATTGTTTTAAATTTTTCAGTCAGAATTTTCCAAAAATAGAACACCAAAGTCTAGTAGTAGTAATTTTTTTATTATTTTTCTCAGACTCACCAGTTGATTGTTACGAGCGTAGCGGAGAGTTAATCTGGCATTTTCCAGACACCCGGTATATTTAGCCCCATTTAAAAATCGACGATTTGTTCTTTAAAATTGTCAACAAAACGGCTTTACATACCAATTAGTGCATGTAAAAAATGACGTCATGTCGAAAAAAAAAGTGTAAAATTCCTCTTGTACAGTACAGTTGAGTGTACATAGCTTGACGGATTTTTTAACAGCGGTTAGCCATTTTAGCGTTATTTAACTTATTATTTTTTTGGTGTTGCATTTTCTGTGTACTCAGTGTTGTAAAATAATTTTATTGCGGCTGTAACACGTAAGATGTTTGTGATTATTTTGTTTTTAAATAAAGCGCTTAAGGTGGAACGATAGACCACAGACAAGTTTGAATTAAGCGCCTTGATGAAGAAAATAATAGATAGAAAGTTGCTATCGCACGCAAAAGTATTGTCGGTACCCACTAATGACGGGTATTAGACTGCTCCGCCTCCTTACTGCGAGTTTATGTAATCGCTAAACACTTGATAGAACAAAATGGACAAGGATCAAAATTTTCTAGTTTGATTACAGAAAATTTTGAATTCGGGACGAACATTTTTTGAGATAATATTTGAAACCAAACGGTAGTGATTTTTTAACAATAATAATGAAGCTTTAATAGATTTTAGACGTGTTTTTTATGTTGTTTTTTGTTTTTCATGTTTTTCTTCATTGACTTCATATTTATAATTTTAAAGTTTATCGTGAACAAAAAATTATCCGAATATATGTTATTTAAATTTTATAGAATAGCATACACCTGTACTTGTGGTTTATGAATCCGTGTTGAGTCCTTACCCTAGATTTTTGCAAAAAAACTTAAAAGGAAAAAACTGTTATATTCGTATCTCATATATAGTGTACCAGTGTCCCCTGATTTACCAAATTGGTAAACTTAATCAGTAGAAAGAGGAAATTCTTCTAGTAAGTGACAGTACAACATCTGAGTTACAGATGTATAATCTTTGTTCGGCTAGAAGTAGTTTTCTAGCTTTTAACGCAGGTAAGACTTGTGAGATGCAACATTTTCTCTACGTGCGTTTGGGTAAACCTCGAGTTTAAGTAGATAATGGAACCATGATAACTCTTTTGAAGTACATTATGTTACTTCAAGGTGTATTGTATTCGTGCACGTCATATTTACTAGTAATTTATGTTAATATTTAATTTATTTATAGTTGATCCCACCAAACTTTTTAAAGCATTTTAAAAATCAAGAAAAATTTATTTTGTTAAAAAGTTTGATGGTTGTCTTTGTCCATTAGGTGTGTCCCATAGGGTCCAAAAGATATTTGTTTGGACCACGCCCGCAATGGCTATTCACCATTTACCAAAATTCTTCCATCGAATACTTATGCAAAGATATTGGATTCAAGATAGCAAATTCAGTTGTTTTTCTCACTGCTAAATTAGTGGAGTCAGTAGCATGTACATGTTAAAAAAAAAATATGTGAAAAATTTAGTTGGCCTGCAGACAAGAGGGTGACAGCGTAGCTGTTGAAGACATTTAATAGAATCAAGTATTATGCTAGTGACTTCATTTCTAATATCTCTGCATCCCATTTTTCCCCTCAGAACGTACATTTTACCCTCCCGTGTCGCAAAATCGGCGCCACCCCGCATAAACCGTTGATCTTAACCGTACCCTTTTTTCCAGTTGGCATGGGCCCCCGGCAAAGGCGTAAAAGGTAAAGACCTCAAGGACTATTGGGAAGGCGACCTCGGCGTGTCGTACATACCGTGGCACAAGCTGAAACCCGACATAGATCTCGAAATGCTGGAAGACGGCGGCATGATCGACGAGGACACGATGCCCGCCTGGATGAAGGCGAAAATCGCCGCCAGCAGCACCAACAAATCCGCCACCGTCACGAACCCCCCCGTCTCCTCGGACCCCTCCAGCAATTTCATGCCGATCTCGGACGGCTCGCGCCCCCCGGTCGACACCAGCCAGCCCCCTCCCGTCCCCGGCTCCGGCCTCCTCCAGCCCCCGCCCATGGCCCTGCCGCTGGTCTCCCCGTTCCAGTTCAGCAACAGGTTGCTGGGGATGAACATCCCGCCGACCATGCTCCCGAACGTCCCGATCGGAGTCCCGCCCCCGAACATCTCGAGCGCGCTGATGTCCAACCAATTAGTGGGATTGGGCTCGCCCTTCCAGGGACCCACGAGTCTGATGCAGCAGATGTCGGTCCAGAGCGAGCAGAGCCAGAACTCGTCCGACGGGAACATGAAGCTCGGGGACAGCCTGATGAACATGACGCAGCCGTTCGGGATGATCCCGCAGCCGCCGATCGGGCTGCCGGCGCCGCACGACGACAACATGGACATCGAGATGGAGGACGCGGAGAAGCCGGAGAGGCCGATGCTGCTGAGCGAGCAGCTGCAAGCGTCGATGGCGCAGTTCAGCCAGAATAATCACAGGGGCGGCGAGATGGGGCCGGATATGGACGACCGCAGGGACAGCAGGGATAGGGAGAGGAGGAACTCGAGGAGCAGGGAGAGAGAGAGGGACAGAAATAGGTGGGTAGGGACAGGTAAATTAGGTTAAGTTATGTGACGTGCACGAATATGTATATGCCTAGGCGGACTTTAGGCTTAGGTTGTAGGCGGCGATGTGGTACAATCGCACGCAAAGGTTTTGAACCTATGGGCGGATCGTTTTTGCCTGCCCTCACCGAAGAAGGCGGTCCAAATCCTTCAAGGGCAGAATTTGTAGGTAGGCTCAAACTACAACGAAATTCACATTTTACCCTATAAAATTTTATTGACAATTACGGGACGGACAGTAGTTATATATACATTTGATAAGAAATATTTATGGCTCACACCAGTTCTCTCGAATTTGTCGGAGAAGATTTAGCAGGTAGTTGTTCCCATAAAATCATCTTTCGACCAATTGTTCCGTATAAAAAATTTCATCACTTTTTCAAATAAAATACTCTTAAAAAAAAACGATATTGTCGTTGAGTGACATGTAACTGGCATAATAATAAAAACGTGCCATTTTTGTTAACTGATATTTTTTTCATAAATGTCGCAAAATTATTAAATTTGTCTAATCATCCCCACCAATAATGTGATGACGTCACTTCAAATTTATGCTTAGTAAATGGGTTTATAAATTGTATACAGTAACACAGTCCTACACATGTAGTTTATGACTCCGTGTTGAGTTTTTATCCAAAACGTCTAAATTTTTGGAAAAAAATCAAAATTGTAAAACAATATTTTGCAATTTAATTTTGAATTTGCAAAATCGAATACTTTGAAATTTTGCAGATGTTTTAAAATCATGATAAACATGATACATTTTTAATTAAAATATATTTGCTTATCCCCTCTAAAAAATGTATGACGTCACCTCAAAATTTTGCAGAATAAATCCTATCTTAAATGTATAAAATATGATGAGTTTTATACTTGTGATTTATCACTGCATTAATATTTTTTAGATTTGGTTATACAGGGTGTCTCAAAAAAGTTAATGACTGAGTCAATTTATTTTATTGAAGAAATCAAGAATAGCAAAACTGAATACTTTGAAATATTGTAGATGTTTTGAAGTTTTTGTAAGCAACAATATTTGATTAATCAAATATGCGCAAAATCAAAAATCGGAAAAACTGAAATTCACTAATGCAAAAAACAGAAAATCGAAAAATACAAATCGTAAAAATCGAAAATCTAAAAATGGCTAATCAAAAAATCGAAAATTCAGTGAATCAAATACCTAGGTCGATCGAAAAGTGGAAATTCACAAACCTCAAAAATCGAAAATTGAAAAACGGGAAAACCAAAAAATCGAAAAGTCAAAAATTTGTAATATTGAAAATTAAAAAAATTAAAAACAAAAATAAAAAATCGGAAATTAAAATAATCAAAATAAAACTGAAACGAACAGAAAAATCGAATTGGAAAAACAAAAATTCGAAAAATCTAAAATCGAAAAAGTGGAAAATAGAAAATCTGAATAAAGAAACTTGAAAATTCTGAAAATTGGAAAATCGAAAACCAAAAAATCGGAAAGTAACAAAATTGAAGTCTAACAGTTGAGAATGGAAAAATTGAAAATCGCAAAATTTAAATTGAAAAATTGAACATAGAAAAATCGACAATTCGACTACTCAAATTTTCTAAAAATCGAAAAATCATAAAACTGAAAAATCCAAAATTCTAATCATCGAAAGTCTGAAAACTGAAAATCGTAAAATTCTGAAAAGCGGAAAATAGAATATCGAAAAATTCAAAAGAAAGAAAATTGAAGTCTAAAAACCGAAGAATGGAAAAATTAAAAATCAAAAATTCGAAAAATCAAAACCGAAAAATTCAAACATTGAAAAAGAAAATCGAAAAATCAAAAATCTGAAAATTGAAACTCGAAAATTTGGAAAATCGAAAAGTAAAAAAATTGAAGTCTAAAAGCTGAAAAATGGAAAACTGAACAATCGAAAATTCGAAAATCAAATATCGAAAAATCGAAAAGCCGAAAAATCGAAAATTTGATAAATCAGATATGCGAAAAACAGAAAATCTGAAAATGCCAAACTGGAAAATCAAAAATCTAAAAATGGAAAAACCGAAAATCGAAAATTCAATGAATCTAATACGTAGGTCGATCGAAAAACTAGAAATTCACAAATCTGAAAAATCGAAAATTTGCAAGATTGAAAAACCGAGAATTGAAAAATCAAAAAACCGAAAAATGGAAAAATCAAAAATCGAAAAATAGGAAAACCGAAAATTCGAAAATTCATAATATTGAAAACTCTAAAAGTCGACAATTGAAAAATCAAAAAATTGGAAAGTAAAATAATCGAAAAATGAAAAGTAAACAAATTGCAAAGCCTAAAAACTGACGAACAGAAAAATCGAAAAATCGTAAAATCAAAAAGTGGAAAACCGAAAATCGGATTATCGAGAATCGACAAATTAAAAAACCGAAAAATCGAAAAATTAAAAAATCGAATAATCCGAAACTAAAATAATAGAAAAGTGGAAAAGTAAAAATTGCAGTCTCAAAACTGACGAACAGAACAATCGAAAAATAAAAAAAAATCCAAAAATATCTAAACATGGAAAATCGGAAAATGGAAAAACCGAAAATCGAAAACTCGAAAAATCGATGAAACAAATACTCGAAAAAGCGAAAAGTAAAAAAATTGCAAGGCCTAAAAATTGAAAAATCAAAAAGTCGAAAAAATGAAAATCGAAAAAACGACGATCGAAAAAAAATCAAAAAATCGAAAAGTGGAAAATCGGAAAGTAACAAAATTGAAATCTAAAAGCTGCAAATTGCAGAACCATAAAAACTGAAACAAACAGAAAAATCGAAAAACCACAAAAGCGGAAAAACGAAAATCGCAAATCGAAAAATCGTAAAATCAGAAAATGGAAAATCGAATAATCGAAAGTTGAAAAATCGAAGGTCGAAAAATAAAACCGAAAAATCGAAAAATTTTATGATTAATGGAAAATCGAAAAATCGAGAATAGAAGAATTAAAAAACCGGAAAACTGAAAAATCGGAAATCGAAGAATTAAAAACGTAAAATCGAGAATTGAAAAATCAAAAAAATCGGAAAGTAAAATATAATCGAAAAATAGGAAAACCGAAAATTCGAAAATTCATAATGTTGAAAACTCTAAAAGTCGACAATTCAAAAATCAAAAAACTGGAAAGTAAAATAATCGAAAAATCGAAAAGTAAACAAATTGCAAAGCCTAAAAACTGACGAACAGAAAAATCGAAAAATCGTAAAATCAAAAAGTGGAAAATCGAAAACCGGAAATTGAAAAATCGAAGATTGGAAAATCGAAAAATCGAAAATCGGAACATCGAGAATCGACAAATTAAAAAACCGAAAAATCGAAAAATTAAAAAATCGGAAATCGAAAAATGAAAAAAAAACGAAAATTCAAAAATCGAATAATCCGAAACTAAAATAATAGAAAAGTGGAAAAGTAAAAATTGCAGTCTCAAAACTGACGAACAGAACAATCTAAAAATAAAAAAAAAATCGAAAAATATCTAAACATGGAAAATGGGAAAATGGAAAAATCGAAAATCGAAAACTCGAAAAATCGAAAATTCGATGAAACAAATACTCGAAAAAGCGAAAAGTAAAAAAATTGCAAGGCCTAAAAATTGAAAAATCAAAAAATCGAAAAGTGGAAAATCGGAAATTAACAAAATTGAAATCTAAAAGCTGCAAATTGCAGAACCATAAAAACTGAAACAAACAGAAAAATCGAAAAACCACAAAAGCGGAAAAACGAAAATCAAAACATCGCAAATCGAAAAATCGTAAAATCAGAAAATGGAAAATCGAATAATCGAAAGTTGAAAAATCGAAGGTCGAAAAATAAAACCGAAAAATCGAAAAATTTTATGATTAATGGAAAATCGAAAAATCGAGAATAGAAGAATTAAAAAACTGGAAAACTGAAAAATCGGAAATCGAAGAATTAAAACCGTAAAATCGAGAATTCAAAAATCAAGAAAATCGGAAAGTAAAATATAATCGAAAAATGCAAAAAAATTGCAAAGTCTAAAAACTGACGAACAGAAAAATCAAAAAATCTAAAAATGGAAAGACGAAAAATCGAAAATTGAAAGAATGGCAAATTAAAAAATCGAAACATCGAAAAATCAAAAAAACGGAAAATTAAAAAATCGAAAAACGAAAAAACTGAACTCGAAAAATCAAAATACCACAAATTTGAAAAATCAGAAAATTAGAAAGTAATAAAATCGAAAAGTTGATAGAAAAATGGAAACTGAAAAATCTAATTCGATGAAACTGTTGGTCGAAAAAACGAAAAATCGAAAATCGAAGTGACCTTTTTTTGAGACAGGCTGTATAAGTAAATCTAAAAAATATTACTGCAATGATAAATCACAGGTATAGACTCATCATATCAAATTTTACGATGACGTCATGCATTTTTTGGCGAAGATAAGCAAATACATTTTGATCGTGGCTTTGAAAGTATTCTTCGACTTTCGTTCCATTTCAAAATTTACTTTTTGTATATTTCAGTGGTCGCAACGAGTTCACTAACTACGCTGAAGTATGCAAAGATTAAATTTGTCACCGAAAAGATGTCGGAAGTAATAAATTATCCTATCGGTCGAAGAACGTTCGGTCCGGTGTTACACCTCGACCCAAGAGAGACCGCAGTAAAGGATAACAAATGGAACTGATAAAATAAAGCGTCAAATATGATAATTGATAAACTTTAAACCAAAATTAAGAAGTTTATAAACATTTTTTTTGCTTTAACTATGGTCAGCACAATTGGACCTAATATTAGTGTGATTTTGAGCATATTCTCGATGTTATTAGAGCAGGACAGGTTTTTTTTCTAACTAATTGACAAGATTTCAAAGTATTCAGTTTTGCAATTCTTGATTTCTTCAATAAAATAAATTGACTCAGTCATTATTTTTTTTTGAGTCACCCTGTATGTATAAACAAATCCAAAAAATATTAATGGAATGGTAAATCACAAGTATAGACTCATCATATTCTGAACATTTTAGATAGGGTATTTATAAAATTAAAACTAATTCAGAGTAAGAATTTGGTCAACACGTAAATTTCGTTGTAGTTTGAGCCTACCTACAAATTCTGCCCTTGGACGATTTGGACCGCCTCCTTCGGTGACGACCGGCAAAAATGATCCGCCCATAGGCTCAAAACATTTGCGTGCGATTGTACAGTTGAGGTTGATTTGGGGAGTTTGAGGTGACGGCGATTCGTACAATAAATTATTTTCTTTAAGTTCATGCATGCAATTTTCCATCCGTTGTCACGGATTAGTGAGAGCTGCGCCACTCAACGCAAGCACAGTTCTTTCTTCTGGCGTCGTCACGGATTGATTAAAACTGCGTCACTCAGTGCGAGCACGTTTCTCTTTTCCCGCACTTGTCACGGCTTGGTTGGAATTGCGTCACTCAACTCAAGCACAATCTTGTCACTGTGTTACTCAATTTGTCACTAAGCTTAACTTTTACAAGTACTGACTCAATTAATACTGGTTACTATTTTTACTGAACCTTTATAAAGTAAACTGGACCTCGATTCATAAGAACCCTTAAATCGAGCCATGTCAGTAAAAAACCCTCTTCTTTGCAGGGATAGAGACCGCCGAGGCCGCGACGGCTTCCCCGACCGCGACGACAGCCGCAGCCGCGACCACAAAGACGACCGCAGAGACCGTCCGAACCGGTGGGGCGACCGCGACATGGACGCCATGGAGCGCCGCGAGCGCGAGAAGACCCTCAACGACCGCCTCCAGCAGATGGCGATGCCCAACGAGGCGGCGTACTCGAACCACGACAGACCGCCGCCGCGCGACCTCCCCGAGCCAGAAATGCACCCGATGGACCGGCGCATGTTCCCGCCGCCACACAAAGGCCCGCCGCCGATGAACGAGATGGACGAGATGTACGGCATGCGGGGACCCCCGGAGGAGTACGAGCACGCCATGAACGGGCCGCCGATGATGGACGAGTACCCACCCATGATGGAACACCCCGACGAGTGGATGGAAGGGCCGCCGCTCCATCCGAGGATGCACAGGGACGAGTTCGAGCACGAGCGCTTCGGCAGGGGCAGGAGGGACTTCAGGGACAAGTTCGAGCCGAGGGGGAGGGGGCCGCCGCCGGGACCCGACTACTTCCCCCCGAGGGACGGCTTCGGCCCGCCGAGACCCATGATGCGGGGAGGGCCGGACTTCCCGCCCCGGGGGCCCATGAGAGGGGGCGGCCCGCACAAGTTCCACCCAAGGGGGCCGCCGCCGATGAGGGGACCGAGGCCGAGTAAGTGAACGAGTAGTTGTAGGGGCAGCGGGGACTCGGAAAAGGTCGGCTTCCATTGTTATTATTATAATTAGATCCGGCAATCAGGCAAGACCCCCACTCCTTGCTCTAGCCTGACTGTCGCTGAAAACCTAGTCGGATTAACACGATCATTTTCGATTATTTTTATTCTCTTCTTTTTGTTGTTGAATATTTATTTATTTATTTATATATTTATTTTATTACTTGTGTTGGAATAATCGTCCGTTGAATTGAAAACCGTTCTGTTTCTCTAAACTAGATATCGTTCTGACGGACGTTTCGCTTGCAGACCCACCGTGGAAAGACCGTCCGAACTTCGGTCCGCGCTTCGACCACCCCGACTTCCACCGAGGTCCTCCGGGGATGTACGACGAGCCGCCGCACATGAGGCACCGCGGTAGGTTCGACGAGAGGCGGCGTCCTCGTCCCGATTTCGGGCACGAGGGCCCGCCGCCCCCGGAGGGCGACCGCTTCCAGAAGCGCAGCCGCTGGGGCGAGTCCCAGGAGGAGAATAGCGGGCGCGAGCCCGAACAGCCGGCGCCAAACGGTACAGAAAACAAAGGTGGCAATACACCCTTGCATGACGAACCATTTAACCGTGACATTGTAGAGGGAGGTGCGCAGGAGGAAGAGGCGCCAGCGGTGGACGAAGCGGCGGTGGCGCCGCCGCCGCACGAAGAAGAGCCTGCGGAAAGCACCGCCGAGCCGCAGGCCGAGCAAGTGGAATCGGCCGCTTAAAACGAGTTGAAAGTTTCCTTTGGATGGCAGTAAGGTGACATTTAGTTTCTGTAATTTAACCATTCGGTGTTAACAAGTTAAGTAGTTCCAAAGGACACTTACATTTCGGACGTAGGTTAAATGTAGTTGAGTCACGGAGAACTATAAAATGTTTGAACAAAGGACAACGCTTAGCTGTGATAGTGTAGTGAACACAGGTGACCCCGCTCAGGGATCGTCTTGTCTTGTCATGTTTTATATTAAAAAAAGGAATAAATTATTTTTATTAAGTTACTTATTTTGGTTTAAATTTTTGTCCATGGCCGAGTCAAACGGTATTGTGGTTGTGCTGTTTGTAATGTTCAGTTATTTTATAAGGTGACATACAGCGAAAGGTAGGTCCATCTGTGTTCACACAGCTGAGAGGAGGAGCCCCGTGCCAACTTTCAAATGGAAAGTTTGGTACAAGGTACGGTCCCAGTTCTCTAATATATGTAGATTTAGTTTGATATAAACGAATATCGTGTAATATAATAACTATTTAAAATGTTGTGAAATTAACAGAACTTTGGTTTGTAACGCTGTACATATTTGTGTAATTTATTTGTGTGTGTTATTTTTTCAACTTCAAAACATCCATTGTTGTTGGTTTAACTTTCGAGAGAGAGGGGTGATGTATTGTTACATCGAAACTTACGATTTCATTTTCGTTGTCCTCTCTTGATTAGTCCCACGTTTTTTAAATTTATAATTCATTCAAGGATTGATTTGAGTGTAATCACGATGTGTAAAATATGGCATATTACACCAGAGTTCTATAAGATCAAATGTTTAAAATTTTGGTGTACATAGGGATTACATATTAAGTATTTTAATTATAAAAAATATACTGATGATTATAACTTGATTATGATTTATGAAGGCTAAATATAATTTTTAAGGGTTTTATTGTATTTTTTTGCTTCATGGGTTTTGTTTTCATAATTAGAATTTTCTCCTAATCCATTTTTTTCATTTAAATAAAAAATACGCAAATACGACTATTCAACAGTTAAATTCTTGCCGTGTTAGTTGATTACATTGTTACTGCGCAGCGGCAAAATCTTTCCTTTGATAGTAAAGAACCAGGAAAAGTATGCGGCACTGTATAGACTGATTGACTGAAAGAGACATTTACTTGCGGACAAAATTAAGCTGAAAATGTGTTGAGTCATGTAACTATATTTATCCAAAGATAAACTAAATAGTAGACAAATTTTACGTACGTTACGAGTACGTTTTTGTTGTGTTAGATTACAACACTCCTTAACTGTGGCATTGAACTTTGATACCATTAGAGTTGCATTTAATAAAACACGTCTTATAACCTACAATGTCGCGAAAAATAAAAGATGTGGCCGGTGTGTTAAAATACATGAGAGGGCGTACATCGTTCGATCGCGTTTTAGAAAAGGTAATAAAATATTTCTTGAATTATTGTCGTACGAAAGTACACATTTAAATTGCGCGGTTAAAATGACGTTTCGAAAATAATAATAATGTTAACCTACAGGTTAAGATACTGTCAATTGGAGACGGTACATGTTTCGCTGAATTAAAACTTGAAGATGAGCATGTGAATAGCATGGGTGTTTTGCACTCGGGATTGGCCACCACGCTTGTCGACTGCATTTCCGGGTACGCCCTTATGACAAAAATACCTAATGCACATGTATCGATTGACATACACTTCAGGCAAGTGCTGGAAACATAAGCATGGTTAAGCAAATTTAAGTCAGAGTGTTTTAGCTTCACAAAGAAAATTTTAAAAGGCGACACTATACTTATAGACGGTTGGGTTAACAAGTTTGGGAAAACTATGGCTTTTTTGGAGGTGGAAATGAGAGATAAGGCGTCCGGGGAAACAGTAATTAAAGGCACACACTCCAAATATATTTTGTGATAACGATATCTTTTTGCATGTAATTTGGTGTCACGAAGTGTGTTTTGTTGTTTTATTACCACCAGTACGAGGAATAATAAAAACTGTGATAACTAAATTTTCTATTTATTATTATGTCCATTTGCATTAAAATATAGGTATAATTAACGTCGTTATTGTACATATGTACTCAGTTAATGCTTACGTACAATCGCACGCAAATGTTTTGAGCCTATGGGCGGATCATTTTTGCCGGTCGTCACCGAAGGAGGCGGTCCAAATCGTCCAAGGGCAGAATTTGTAGGTAGGCTCAAACTACAACGAAATTTACGTGTTGACCAAATTCTTCCCCTGAATTAGTTTTAATTTTATAAATACTTAATTACTTACTCTGAATTAGTTTTAATTTTATAAATACCCTGTCTAAAATGTTCAGAATATACTTGTGATTTACCATTCCATTAATATTCTTTGGATTCGTTTATGCATACAGGGTGACTCAAAAAAAAATTACTGAGTCAATTTATTTTATTGAAGAAATCAAGAATTGCAAAAATGAATACTTTGAAATCTTGTCAATTTTTAGATTTTTGATTTTCCAGTTTTGCATTTTCAGATTTTCTGTTTTTCGCATATCTGATTTATCAAATTTTCGATTTTTCGGCTTTTCGATTTGTCGATATTTGATTTTCGAATTTTCGATTGTTCAGTTTTCCATTTTTCAGCTTTTAGACTTCAATTTTTTTACTTTTCGATTTTCCAAATTTTCGAGTTTCAATTTTCAGATTTTTGATTTTTCGATTTTCTTTTTAAATCTTTGAATTTTTCGGTTTTGATTTTTCGAATTTTTGATTTTTAATTTTTCCATTCTTCGGTTTTTAGACTTCAATTTTCTTTCTTTTAAATTCTTCGATATTCTATTTTCCGCTTTTCAGAATTTTCGATTTTCAGTTTTCAGACTTTCGATGATTAGAATTTTGGATTTTTCAGTTTTATGATTTTTCGATTTTTAGAAAATTAGAGTAGTTGAATTTTCGATTTTTCAATGTTCAATTTTTCAATTTAAATTTTGCGATTTTCAATTTGTCCATTGTCGATTTTTAGAATTTTCGGTTTTTCAATTTTTCCATTCTCAACTGTTAGACTTCAATTTTGCTACTTTCCGATTTTTTGGTTTTCGATTTTCCAATTTTCAGAATTTTCAAGTTTCTTTATTCAGATTTTCCATTTTCCACTTTTTCGATTTTAGATTTTTCGAATTTTTGTTTTTCCAATTTTTTGCTTTTTCGATTTTTCTGTTTGTTTCAGTTTTTAGGCTTTGCAATTTTTTTTACTTTATATATTTTGATTATTTTAATTTCCGATTTTTTTATTTTTGTTTTTGATTTTTTTAATTTTCAATATTACAAATGTTTGACTTTTCGATTTTTTGGTTTTCCCGTTTTTCAATTGTCGATTTTTACAATTTGTATTTTTCGATTTTCTGTTTTTTCCATTAGTGAATTTCAGTTTTTCCGATTTTTGATTTTGCGCATATTTGATTAATCAAATTTTCGAAAAAGTTACCATGCTTACAAAAACTTCAAAACCTCTACAATATTTCAAAGTATTCAGTTTTGCTATTCTTGATTTCTTCAATAAAATAAATTGACTCAGTCATTAACTTTTTTGAGACACCCTGTATAACCAAATCTAAAAAATATTAATACAGTGACAAATCACAAGTATAAAACTCATCATATTTTATACATTTAAGATAGGATTTATTCTGCAAAATTTTGAGGTGACGTCATAAATTTTTTAGAGGGGATAAGCAAATATATTTTAATTAAAAATGTATCATATTTATCATGATTTTAAAACATCTGCAAGATTTCAAAGTATTCGATTTTGCAAATTCAAAATTAAATTGCAAAATATTGTTTTATAATTTTGATTTTTTTTCCAAAAATCTAGACGTTTTGGATAAAAACTCAACACGGAGTCATAAACTATATCTGTAGGACTATGGTACTGTATACAATTTAAAACCCATTTACTATGCATAAATTTGAAGTGACGTCATCACATTGGGGATGATTATACAAATTTAATAATTTTGCGACATTTATGAAAAAAATATCAGTTAACAAAAATGGCACGTTTTTATTATTATGCCAGTTACATGTCACTCAACGACAATATCGTTTTTTTTAAGAGTATTTTATTTGAAAAAGTGATGGAATTTTTTATACGGAACAATTGGTCGAAAGATGTTAGAAAGCAAAATAATTCATGTCCGGACCATCGTTACTCACGAACGAAAGTGACCATTATTTTATGGGAACAACTACCTGCTAAATCTCCGACAAATTCGAGAGAACTGGTGTGAGCCATAAATAGTTCTTACCAAATGTATATATAACTATTGTCAATAAAATTTTATAGGGTAAAATGTGAATTTCGTTGTAGTTTGAGCCTACCTACAAATTCTGCCCTTGAAGGATTTGGACCGCCTTCTTCGGTGAGGGCAGGCAAAAACGATCCGCCCATAGGCTCAAAACATTTGCGTGCGATTGTACATGTGAACAATCCAGTATATTGAAAATCCGTAATGTCAGGGGTCCTTAAAGATGTGGCTGGTCTTTTAAAATTTATAAAAGGACGAAAATCGTTCGGACGTGTCATACACAAGGTAATACACAGTTACCAAAATGGTTTTTCGAAAAATTAACTGATTGTTGATGCAGATGCAGATTTTGTCAGTTGGAAATGGTAAATGTTCCGTCGAATTAAAAATCGAAGATGAACATGTGAACACTATGGGTTTTTTACACACAGGGTTAACTAGCACACTTATGGACTGCATTTCTGGGTTCGCTCTTATGACGAAAGTGCCTAATACACATGTGTCTACGGACATGCACATTAGGCAAGTGGAATTGAAATATTTCGATGAATTTAAACATTGTTTTAGTTGTTTAAAGCCGGTTCTGCGCGGAGACACTTTACTAATAGATGGGTGGGTGCAAAAATCAGCGAAAACCTTGGCTTTTTTGGAGGTGGAAATGAGAGATAAGGTGTCTGGGGAGGCGGTGGTTAGAGGAATCCACACGAAGTATATTTTGGATGATTTATTTTTAATTTAATTACATATTTAAAATTTTTAAACGGTCTTATTTCCACAAGAATAGCGACAGCGGCGCGAAGGGCGTCTCCTCCCAGCCAACTAGACGGCCTGATTCAATAGGTTTAAAAATCCAATTTTGTCTAATCGTTTTATTATAGAGAGTGTTCGGCGTAAACTCCCTAATTTACTATGTAAGCCAGTAAATGTCTTGAGTTTAAAATTTAGATTTCGTGCGAAGACGAAAAACAACGCCGGATTATGTGATTGGTTGGACCAGACTTCGTATGATTGGCTCCAACAATGCGAAAACAGCGACAAATTTGACATTTTCAGAAAAAATCAAAAGACGTAACAATTGCGTAACTGAAAAGAATTTTACCGTTTATTGTCAGTGTTTTTCCGGTGCGTTTTAATTTGTATAATGTGTGGAAATTTGTAAAACTTTTGACAGGTAGGAGTTATATATAAAAAATGAGGTTATATACACCACCAATAAAAATGTTCCAAAAATAACTAGAGATTAGAGAGAACAGGTCATTGAAATCACGGACTTAATTTATGTTTCACTGTAAATTCTCGCTTCATGTTAAGATTGAACTCAGGTTTCACTTTTTTATATAACTTTTTTTACTATAATTATTACATCATTCACACTTGGTAATTTCTCACTGGAGATTTATAATGGTTAATTTATGCCATTTATACTAATTTTAAATATTCACCCATTATCAGTGAAAGGACCTTGAAAATTATCATCAGTTAAATTAATCTCATTGCATACCCGAAATTGTAGGTTTGTTTTAATTTCTAAATCAAGTAGGTAGTTTCGATCTACTCCGCAAAGTTAAGTTAATAGTAATCACTGGAATGAAGAGGGGGTGGGTGGGCGGGGCTATTGCTTGTTTATTAAAGATTTTATATGAAAAAGTTAAACTTAGCCCCGCCCACCCACCCGTTCTCTAATTTTGTTTTGCAGAAATAAGAAATAAATGTAGTAAATAAGTAGTATAAGAGAAAAAAATACGATTAACGTCTATGTTCTATTAGTTCCAATTTTTGCTTTACAAGAGAACATAAAATTCAACACGCCCACCCACCCCGCCTCCATTTCAGTGATTCATTTTTTCTAGTCCGAATGAAAGGTGGATCTCAATTGAAGAGAAATAAAATCGTTAGATTAGATAATTTTTCGATTTCTCAATTTTCCGATATTTCGTCTTTACGATTTTTCAATTTTTGGCCTTTCTAAATTTTTGATTTTTCAATTTTTTGATTTTCCTATTTCTCGAGTTTTCGAACTGTCGATTTTGCAGTATTTCAATTTTTCGATTTTTCAAGTTATCAATTTTCCAGTTTTTTAAATTATCGGTTTTTCGATTTTTCCATTTTACAATTTTTCGATTTATCGTTGTTCAGTGTTTCAGTTTTCGGATTTTTCAATATTTCGGTGTTTCAGTTTTGGAGTTTTTCAATTTTTCTATTCTTTAATTTTTTCTTCGATTTTTCAATTTTTCGATTTTTCGACTTTTCAATTTTTCGATTTCTCAATTTTCCGATATTTCAGTTTTACAATTTTTCAACTTTTTGATTCTTCAATTTTTCGACTTTTCAAATTTTCGATTTCTCAATTTTACGATTTTTTCAAATTTTGGGGGTACTAATTTTTGATTTCTCGATTTTTTTATTTTCCCATTTATCGAGATTTCGACTTCTCGATTTTTGAGATTTTCAATTTTTCGGTTTTCCGATGTTTCAGTTTTGGGGTTTTTCAATTTTTCGATTCTTTAATTTTTTCTTCATTTTACAATTTTTGATTTATAGTTTTATGAATTTTTCGATATTTCATTTTTGGGATCTTTCAATTTTTCGATCTCTCAGTTTTCTGATATTTCATCTTTACGATTTTTCAATTTTTGGCCTTTCTAAATTTTTGATTTTGCGATTTTTTGATTTTCCTATTTCTCGAGTTTTCAAATTGTCAATTTTTCAGTTTTTCAATTTTTCGATTTTTCAAGTTATCAATTTTACACTTTTTTAAATTTTCCGTTTTTCGATTTTTGGACTTTTGAATCGTTTTTCAATGTTTCAGTTTTGGGATTTTTCAATATTTAGGTTTTTTCTATTGTTTAATTTTTCCTTCGATTTTGCAATTTTTCGAATTATGGATTTATCCATTTTCCGATATTTCAGTTTTGGAATTTTTCAGTTTTTCGATTTTTCTGGTTTTTGATTTTTCAATTTTTTAAATTTTCATTTTTACGATTTGACGGGTTTTTGACTTCAATTTCTCGATTATTTTTCTGTTCCACTTTTCAGTTTTTCAATTTTTCGTTTATTAAAGTTTTTTATTGTTCAGTTTTTTAAATTTTCGGTTTTTTGATTTTTCGACTTTTTGATTTTCCCATTTCTCGAGTTTTTGATTTCTCGATTTTTCAATTTTCGACATTTTAGTTTTTCGTTTTATCAAGTTTTCGATATTTCAGGTTTGGGATTTTACGATTTTTTGTTATTTCAGTTTTAAGATTTTTCAACTTTTCAATTATTCAATTTTTGACCTTTCCAAATTTTCGATTTTTCAATTTATCGACTTATTAGATTTTTCGATTTTTTAATTTTCCCATTTCTCAGGTTTTCGACTTCTCGATTTTTCAGTTTTTCAATTCTTCGATTCTTTAATTTTTTCTTCGATTTTGCAATTTTCCGATATTTCAGTTTTACTGTTTTTGAACTTTTCGATTTTTCGACTTTTCAAGTTTTCGACGTTCCAATTTTCGATTTTTTAATTTTCTCATTTCTGAGGTTTTCGACTTCTCGATTTTTCAGTTTTTCAATTATTCGCTTTTCAACTTTTCAGTTTTTCGATTTATCAACTTTCCTATACATATTTCAAGTTGGGATTTTAAATTTTTCGATATTTCAGTTTTAAGATTTTTGAGTCTGTGGGGTTTCTAATTTTCGATTCGATTTCTCCATTTTCCAGTTTTTCAATTTTTCGATTTTTCGTCTTGACGATTTTTCGATTTCTCAATTCTCCAATATTTCAGTTTTACAATTTTTCCACTTTTTGATTCTTCAATTTTTCGATTTCTGGATTCTTTGACTTTAAGATTTTTCTATTTTTTGATTTCCTCATTTCTCGACTAATAAATTTTTCAGTTCTTCGATTTTTCGGTTTCTCAAATTCCTTTTCTTTTTACGATTTTTCAATTTTTCGACTTTTAGATTTTTCGATTTGTTAGTTTTCCCAATTCTCGAGTTTTCTACTTCTTGATTTCCCGATTTTTTGATTTTTTCGATTTGACGATTGTTTGACTTTTCGATTTCTCGATTATTTTCCTGTTTGATTTATCAGTTTCTCGATTTTTTTATTTTTCCATTTCTTGAGTTCTTCCGACTTGTCGATTTTTCAATTTTTCGATTTATCGTTTTTCGATGTTTCAATTTTGGGATTTTTCAATATTTCGATGTTTCCGTTTTGGAGTTTTTCAATTATTCGATTCTTTAATTTTTCCTTTGATTTTGCAATTTTTCGATTTATGCATGTATCAATTTTTCGATATTTCAGTTTTCCGACTCTCAATTTTCCAAAATTTCAGTTTTACTGTTTTTCAACTTTTCGATTCTTCAATTTTTTGCCTTTCTAAATTTTTAATTTTTTAATGCTTCAACTTTTCGATTTTTCAGTTTTTCAATTCTTCGATTCTTTCATTTTGCAATTTTTCGATATTTAAGTTTTGTGATTTTTCAGTTTTTCGATTTTTCAATTTTACTGTTTTTCAACTTTTCGACTTTTCAATTTTTCGACGTTCCAATTTTGGGATTTCAGTTTACCGATTCTTTGATTTTTTTATTTTCCGATATATTTTCAGTTTTTCAATTTCTGAACTTTTCCATTTATTCACTTTTAGATTTTTCGATTTTTTAATTTTCTCATTTCTCATGTTTTCAAATTCTCGATTTTTCAGTTTTTTAATTCTTCGGTTTTCAACTTTTCAGTTTTTCGATTTATCAACTTTTCTATATTTCTGGTTTGGGATTTAAAATTTTTCGACATTTCAGTTTTCAGATTTTTCAATTTTTCGGCTTTTCAATTTTCGGATATTTCAGCTTTACAATTTCTTGATTTTTTGATTTTCCCATTTCTCGATTTTCGACTTTTTAGTTTTTCGATTTATCAACTTTTCGATATTTCAGGTTAGGGATTTCACGATTTTTTGATATTTCAGTTTTACGATTTTTCAATTTTTGGGATTTCTAATTTTCGATTTTTGAATTTTCAGTTTTTCAATTTTTTGATTTTTCGATTTGTTGATTTTCTCACTTCTCGAGTTTTCGACTACGTGATTTCTCGGTTTTTCAGTTTCTTCATTTTTTCGGTTTTTTGGTTTTTGATTTTTTCATTTTTTAAGTTTTCGGTTTTCCGATTTGACGATTTTTTGACTTTTCAATTCCTCTTTTTTCCGTTGATTTGTCGATTTCTCTATTTTTTTATTTTCCTAGTTTTCGATTTTTCAGTTTTTTAAATTTTCGGTTTTTCTACGTTTAAGTTTTGAGTTTTTCAATTATTCGATTCTTTATTACAATTAGAAAAAAATACCAAAACTAAAGTTGCACAGTTTTTTAAGAACCTTACCAAAGTTATTTTAAACTCTACTGAGCGTTCCGTTTTTAAGGCGTAACACACAAACAAGAAATCCTATACATTTTTATTTTTTTAGGTTTTATAACCATAATTTATTTTGAAAATTCCGATGCGACGTGGCCAAGTTATTCCAATTTTCTTGAAATTTCTTAGGAATGAAAGGGCCCACAAAAAAAATCGCAACAGGGTTATTTTTAAAATCTGAAAAAATTGAGATACCCATATTTGAATTCTTTATTTTGTTATAGACTCTGTGTATATTACATTTTATTTAATTGATACTCAATCGTGGTTATGAAAGCTTAGGAAGACGGTACCAAGAAGAAACTTCTAAGTAAAAAAAGGGTGGGTGAGCGGGGCTAAAACTTGCTAAGATGGGACTGAACCATATTAAGAGTAATCAGTGGAATGAAGAGGGGGTGACTGGGCAGGGCTATTGCTTACTTATAAAAGATTCTGTAGGAAAAATTTAATCTTAGCCCCGCCCACCCACCCGTTCTTCATTTTGTTCTTCAGAAATAAAAGAAATAAGTAGTGTAACAAAAAAATTACGATTAACGCTTTTTATAAACAGTTAGGTTCTATTAGATCCCATTCTCACTTTACAAAGGAACATAAAATTCAACCCGCCCACCCACCTCGCCACCATTTCAGTGATTCATTTTTTCTAGTCCGAATAAAAGGTGGATCTCAACTGAAGAGAGATAAAATCGTTAGAACGAGAAAGCGCGTGTGGGCGGGGCTGGTATTCGTTAAGATAAGATTGATTTTGATAAATGACATACAGTTTGGGACACGGAATTTCAAACGACCTGTCAATCATAATGACAATAAGGTATAAGACTACAATGTTTTTAAATGTCAGAAAGTTGGTTATCGTTTGAAATTCCGTGTCCCTAACCGTACCTTCTAAGATAATAAAGGGCGGGTGGGAGGGGCTAGTACTTCCTAAGATAAGACAGATTGTGCAGACGTCATAGCTTCCAAGAAAATACAGGGCGGGTGGGTGGGGCTAGTACTTGTTAAGATAAGATTGATTTTGGTAAATGACGTATCTTCTAAGAAAAAAAAAGGGAGGGTGGGCGGGGCTAAAACTTGCTTAATGTAAAAAAACTGAATTTTTGTAGAGACGCAAAATTTAAGGAGAATTCTAGAATTTTTCTTCGTTTCATGCTAAAAATTGATAACGTGTGTTTTGTTGGTGGCCTATAGCACTAAAACGTATCAAACAAATCAACTGGAGCAGAAATCCAACATTGGCGTCGACTTGTCTGAAGGAAAAGGTACGTCAAAAATACGTTCAATCGGATTTTATTGCACTAAAAGTTGATTTTTTTTGTAGTGGAGGCAATTTTTAAACGAATTGCAGAACTGAATTCATGTGTTTATGTGTAATTTTTTTTGCTGAATGTTATGGGGAACTCGATCTGGTCTAGGGACGAAATAACACTATATTCGGAGGTAAACAGTTTTAAAACCTGAGAATTTTGTTTAGATGTATGTATATTTTTTTTTCAGGCCCACAAACTGCAGATTACCATACGTTTTTTGTGCATCGAAATCTCTTACGAAATCCGCAGATTTTCGTTCCTTGATGACGCTTGTAAAAGAGCAGACGTGGAACACATATGCAAACTTTTAATCGCCAAACCCGACCCCCACGCACATAGATATGCTGGCTTCTTATCTGGGTTTTCCTTAGAAGAGCTCCAAAAACACGAAAACTGCGAGCTACTGCTAGACATTGTTTTCCCGTACGCTTTCGAGGATGATTGTGCCGTCACGTTCAAAACCATGATCCTGGCGATGTGCTGGAACTCCTCGTTCTTCTCGCGCCTCATGGCAGTCGTCAAAAAAGTGACTTACAACAACGCCGCACTGAATTGCTTCTGTCGCCATTTCGACCTCTTGATAAAAAAACACTTAATAATTTTCTTGGACAAGTTCGAACACGTCGTGAAAGCCGCAATCGACAAGAACTTCTTTTATAGGATAAAACTCCCATCTCGTGTGTCCGACACCAACATGGATCAATATCTGGAAATTATAGACATGGTTTTGTCCCGGGAGTGTCTTTGTCGTGAACTCATACACGCCAAAAGGGAAGTCGTTAGAGTTCCTTCCTATATAACCGACCCAGAATTCACCAACAACACCATCACGCAGTTCATCGCGTCGTTCAGCTCCGTCTTCGACGAAGACGAAATCACGAAGAGGGTTCTCCTGATGGTGTCTTATGACCTCCGCGTGACTCTCCACGACCTCAACTTCGTCTATTATAAATACGGTTACAACGATTTGTTCCGGATTTTGTTGCACATGGACGTGTACGATAACGTGAGCTCGAAAGAACTGCTGTCGGTGATGGTTTATCTACATTATAAACCAGGAGTGGACTTCCACGACCCGAAATTTATCCAGTGTTTGAAACACCACGCTGGTGTCGCGCCTGTGGTTGTCCACGATTCTGACGTCCATTTCGAGAATGACTCCAAAGTGTACGAGAAGTTCAAACTCAGAGAGTTAGAAACGGTTTTGTGTAATAAGACGAATTCGCTGGATACGCTTTTCGATTATTTCAACCAAGAGGAACTGAAGGAGTTGTGTTTGGGTTTATGCGAAAGGAAAAACTTCGTGGAGAAAGTGATGAGGCTGCCGAGGGTTTGCTCTTTGGTGGAATTGAGCAGAAATGTTGAGACAAGATTGATTGTGGAGGGACTTGGTGTGTCGACTGCGAAGGAATTCCTCACAGTTTTGAACGGACTTCGTGTTGACAAGACGGCGAAAAGTGTTTTGGCTTTGGAGAGGAAAATATATCAGCGCGAGTAAGCGAGCGAAGCGAGCAATACGACAGCGTTCGCACTTTTATGTATCCAAAATGTTTGATTATATTTGTAAGCTGTTGTTATGTAGCCCTGGAGAGCACTAAATCTAAAGTCGGGGCCTTAATGGTAACAGATGAACTCTATATGGGTTGTATCTAAAGTGTTTCAATAGTGTGCCTAAAATTTAGATACGTTTGAATTTTTAAAGTTAAAAAAAAAAGTTTTATAGGGTTTTCTGCATTTTGCTGTAACATTTTATTGTTGTTATATAAAGCGACGTTATTTTGTATAATATATGTATTGTACCATATGTAAAAATATAGTGTGATCAAAACCACGTCATTTTCTTTTCACAAAGAAAAAAAAAGACAGTTGGTACCCCAGTAAAGGTTTCACATTAAAAAGAAAAAGGCATTTGGCACCCCCGAGAAGGTTTCACATTCTTTTTTCGATATTTCAATTTAGGATTTTTTCAAATTTTCAATTTTTGGGGTTTCAAATTTTCGATTTCTCCATTTTCCCACTTCTCGAGTTTTCGACTCCTTGATTTCTCGACTTTTCAGTTTTTTCAATTCTTCAATTTTTCGTTTTTTCTGGTTTTTAATTTTTCCATTTTTTAAATTTTCGGTTTTTGCATTTGACGATTTTTTTACTTTTCGATTTCTCTATTATTTTTCAGTTTGATTTATCAATTTCTCGATTTTTTGAGTTTCCCATTTCTCGAGTTTTCAGTTTTCCAATTTTTCGAGTTTTCCATTTTTCAGTATTTTAGATTTCCGGTTTTTCGATATTTTAGTTTTGGAGTATTTTTTCCTCAATTTTGCAATTTTTCGATTTATGATTTTGTCAATTTTTCAATTTTCACTTTTGGGATTTTTCAATTTTTCGATCTCTCAATTTTCCGATATTTCAGTTTTACAGTTTTTCAGCTTTTTGATTCTTCAATTTTTGGCCTTTCTAGATTTGCGATTTTTCGATTTCTCGTTTTTTTGACTTTAAGATTTTTCTATTTTTTGTATATAATCCTCATTTCTCGAGTTTTTGATTTTTCGTTTTCTTCTCAATTTACGATATTTCAATTTTACGATTTTTTTCAATTTTTGTGGTTACTAATTTTCGATTTCTCGATTGTTTGATTTTCCCATTTATCGAGCTTTCGACTTCTCGATTTTTCAGTTTTTCCATTTTTTAGTTTTTTAAATTTTCGGTTTTTCGAGGTTTCAATTTTGAGGTTTTTCAATTTTTCGATTCTTTAATTTTTTCTTCAATTTTACAATTTTTGAATTATGGTTTTATCAATTTTTGGATATTTCACTTTTGGGATTTTTCGATTTCTCAATTTTCCGATATTTCATCAACGATTTTTCAATTTGATTTTTCGATTTTTTGATTTTCCTGTTTCTGGATTTTTCAATTTTTCAGTTTTTCAATTTTACGATCTATAGTTTTGCAATGTTTCAGTTTTGGGATTTTTAAATATTTCGGTGTTTCAGTTTTGGAGTTTTTCAATTTTTGTATTCTTTAATTTTTCCTTCGATTTTGCAATTTTTCGATTAATGGATTTTACAGTTTTCCAATATTTCTATTTTGGGATTTTTAAGTTTTTCGAGTTTTTGACTACTTGATTTCTCGATTTTTCAGTTTTTTAATTCTTCAATTTTTCGTTTTTTCTGGTTTTTGATTTTTCCATTTTTTACATTTTCGGTTTTTCCATTTGACGATTTTTTTACTTTTCGATGTATCTATTATTTTTCATTTTGATTTATCAATTTCTCGATTTTTTTATTTTCCGATTTCCCGAGTTTTCGATTTCTCGATTTTTCAGTTTTTAAGTGTTTCAATTTTTCGATTTTTCAAGTTTTTCATTTTTCAGTATTTTAATTTTAGGTTTTTCAATGTTTCAGTTTTGGAGTTTTTCGATTCTTCAATTTTTCCTTGATTTTGCAATTTTTCGATTTATGATTTTATCAATTTTTCGATATTTCACTTTTGGGATGTTTCAATTTCTCGATTTCTCAATTTTCCGATACTTCAGTTTTACAATTTTTCAGCTTGTTGATTGTTCAATTTTTCGATTTTTCAATTTTTGGCCTTTCTAAATTTGCGATTATTCGATTTTTTGACTTTAAGATTTGCCTATTTTTTGATATCCTCATTTCTCGAGTTTTCGATTTTTCGCTTTCTTCTCAATTTTCCAATATTTCAATTTTACAATTCTTTCAATTTTTGGGTTACTAATTTTCGATTTCTCGATTTTTTTGATTTTCCCTTTCAACTCGATTTCTTAGTTTTTCTATTTCTCGGTTTTTCAAGTTTTCCATTTTTCAGTTTTGGGGTTTTTTAATTTTTCGATGTTTCACTTTTGGGATTTTTCAGTTTTTGGCGTTTCTAAATTTTTGATTTTTCGATTTTTTGATTTTCCTATTTCTCGAGTTTTCCAACTGTCGATTTTTCAGTTTTCAAATTTTTCGATTAATCAAGTTATCAATTTTCCACTTTTTAAAATTTTCGGTTTTTCGATTTTTCGACTTTTTAATTTTTTTAAGTTTTCTACTTCTTTATTTCTCGATTTTTCAGTTTTTTCAATTCTGCAATTTTTGAATTTTTTAAATTATCATTTTTACGATTTGACGGGTTTTTGACTTCAATTTCTCGATAATTTTTTAGTTCCACTTTTCAGTTTTTCAATTTTTCGTTTATTCAGTTTTTTAAATTTTCGGTTTTTTGATTTTTCGACTTTTTGATTTTCCCATTTCTCGAGTTTCTGATTTCTCGATTTTTCAGTTTTCGATTTTCGACATTTTAGTTTTTCGTTTTATCAACTTTTCGTTTGGGATTTTACGATTTTTTGTTATTTCAGTTTTAAGATTTTTCAATTTTTGGCGTTTCTAATTTTCGATTCGATTTCTCCATTTTTCGGTTTTTCAATTTTTCGGGTTTTCGATTTTTAACTTTTCTGGTTTGGTGTTTTACAATTTTTCGAGTTTCAGAATTTTAAAATTTTGGCGTTTCTAATTTTCGATTCGATTTCTCGATTTTGCAGGGTTTCAATTTTGGGATTTTTCATGTTTTCGATGTTCCAGTTTTGGGATTTTTCAGTGTACCGAGTCCTTCATTTTTTCTTCGATTTTGCAATTTTTCGATGTTTTTACTTTTCGGTATTTCAATTTTACGATTTTTCAACTTTTCAATTATTCAATTTTTGACCTTTTCAAGTTTTCGATTTTTCAATTTATCGACTTTGATTTTTCGATTTTTTAATTTTCCCATTTCTTGGGTTTTCGACTTCTCGATTTTTCAGTTTTTCAATTCTTCGATTCTTTCATTTTGCAATTTTTCGATATTTAAATTTTGGGATTTTTCAGTTTTTCGATTTTTCAATTTTTTGATTTTTCGATTTGTTGATTTTCTCACTTCTCGAGTTTTCGACTACGTGTTTCTCGGTTTTTCAGTTTCTTCATTTTTTCGGTTTTTTGGTTTTTGATTTTTTCATTTTTTAAATTTTCGGTTTTCCGATTTGACGATTTTTGACTTTCCAATTTCTCTTTTTTTCCGTTGATTTGGCGGTTTCTCGATTTTTTTAGTTTCCCATTTTTCGACGTTTCGATTTTTCAGTTTTTCAAATTTTCGATTTTTCAGTTTTTTAAATTCTCGGTTTTTCGACGTTTCAGTTTTGAGTTTTTCAATTATTCGATTCTTTAATTTTTTCTTCGATTTTGAAATTTTAGATTTATGGTTTTATCAATTTTTTGTTATTTCACTTTTGGGATTTTTCAATTTTTGGCCTTTCTAAATTTTTGGCTTTTCGAATTTTCGACTTTTTAATTTTTTGATTTATGGTTTTTCAGTGTTTCAATTTTGGGATTTTTCAGTTTTTCGATTTCTCAATTTTCCGATATTTCAGTTTTACTGTTTTTCAAATTTTCAATTCTTCCATTTTTCAATTTTTGGCCTTTCAAAATGTTTGTTTTTCGATTTTCCACCTTTTCGTTTTTCGATTTTTTGACTATTAAATTCTTCAATTTTTTGATTTTCCCACTTCTCGAGTTTTAGTATCCTTCTGTTCTCGATTTTTCAGTTTTTTTCAATTCTGCAATTTTTCATTTTTTCTTCAGTTTTTCGATTTTTCGACTTTTCGAGTTTCCGATTTCTCGATTTTTTGATTAATTATTAGATTCTTTCTTCAATTTTTTGACTTTCCCATTTCTCGATTTTCAACTTTTCAGTTTTTCATTTTATCAACTTTTTGATATTTCAGTTTTAAGATTTTTCAATTGTTGGCGTTTCTAATTTTCGATTCCATTTCTCCATTTACCAGTTTTTCAATTTTTGGAGTTTCTAATTTTCGCTTCGATTTCTTCATTTTCCAGTTTTTCAATTTTTCGACTTTTCAATTTACAATTTTTCAACTTTTTGATTCTTCAATTTTTCGATTTTTCAAATTTCTGATTTGTCGATTTTTTGATTATTAAATTCTTTCATTTTTTTTATTTTCCCACTTCTAGATTTTTTAATTTTTCGATTTTTGACTTTTTAGTTGTTTGATTTATCAACTTTTCCATATTTCAGGTTTGGGATTTACAATTTTTCGACTTTCCAGTTTTAGTATTTTTCATTTTACCAATTTTCTAATTTTGCAATTTTCTGATTTTTTTATTTTCCGATGTTTCAATTTTACTATTTTTCGATTTTTTAATTGTCTCATTTCTAGGGTTTTCGACTTCTCAATTTTCCGATATCTCATCTTTACGATTTTTCGATTTTTGGCCTTTTTAAATTTTTTCCTTTTGGATTTTTTGATTTTCCAATTTCTCGAGTTTTCGACTTGTCGATTTTTCAGTTTCTCAATTTTTCTATTTTTCAAGTTTTCGATTTTCCAATTTTTTCAATTTTGGGTTTTTCGATTTTTCGACTTTTTAATTTTTTGATTTATGGTTTTTCAATGTTTCAATTTTGGGATTTTTCAATATTTCGATGTTTTAGTTTTGGAGTTTTTCAAATTTCGATATTTCAGTTTTGGGATTTTTCAGTTTTTCGATTTCTCAATTTTCCGATATTTCGGTTTTACTGTTTTTCAAATTTTCAATTCTTCCATTTTTCAATTTTTGGCCTTTCAAAATGTTTGCTTTTTCGATTTTTCACCTTTTCGTTTCTCGATTTTTTGACTATTAAATTCTTCAATTTTTTTTATTTTCCCACTTCTCGAGTTTTCGTATTTTTGTTTTTTCGATTTTTCAATTCTGCAATTTTTCAGTTCCATTTATCAATTTTTC